TTGGAAAGTACAGATTGGAAAGTGACTTCTTCAAGTTGTTTTTAATCATGAACTTCAAATGAGCTTTAAATTTGGTCCTCATTTTGATCGTGGATGAAAGATATTTGGCTTAGCAAGACAGACAGTTTCATATTTCTAATCTCTGGAACTAAATGATACTATGTAATCAAAGTATAAATACCTTCATGTTTATAGTTTCTTAAAAAAAACGATCACATATTTCTTTAAAAGACAGTTGCACATATCATGTATCATTGTGTGTATTACACTATCAAACGATTACAGGCAAATTTCCAATATATTGCACGAGTAGATTTCATGCAAATCAGGCCATCACGAGTTTGTCACATAATAATATTCCAAAGTTTTATAGCCCCACTAAGTTGTAGTTTCAACCCAAGTTTCAAGTGCCACCGCACAACCATTCAAAACCAATCCATTGTTTCCGAGTACAGTTCAAAAGCTCAGATATCTTTGTGGTTGTAAAAAAAATTGAACAGAATTAGTACGAGAACAAGGATGGATTCAACTCTGAATAAAAAAGAATGGAGATGTGTCCCGAGTGCTCAAAGTGAAACTTACAGGGGAAAAAATGGGGTCCGGATTTGTTGACTTTTCATTACACACAAGGAAGATAAAATCCCTTTGGGTCAGCAAAGATGTACTTATTTAAACTCCTCTCTCAATATTCCATCAAATGTTTTGGATCCTCAAAAATAACATAGCCAGTCTTAACCCCCTCCAAAAAAAAGTTTTAAAGAAATTACAGGATCATTTGCATTCAAGGGCGGATCCAGGGGGGGGGGGGGGGGGGGGGGGGGCCAAAGGGGGCCATGCCCCCCCCCAAAAAAAAACGAAACCAATTTTTTTTTTTTTTTAGTGACATCGCAATAAAGGCAGGCAATGAGTACACCACCATCTTTTCCTCAAAAAAAAACATTGGTTAAAGTGGTCAGAAATTGCCTCAGATCGCACCACAGAGCATCTAGAATCCAAATTTTTTTTTTTCGGGGCCCTTCAGCGGGCCCCGAACCCAACGCCGTAATTTTTGTGACCCACTTTTTTAGGGGACCAAATTTTTTTGGCCCCCTCCAAAATTGTGTTCTGGATCCGCCCTTGTTTGCATTTTTCTTTGGATTTATTCCATCCCCGTGAAATTGTTCCATCGGACTTGCTCAATGCTGTCATTCAAAAGAAATCAAGAAATGTAGGTGATTTCCAAAGATCAGTTAATTGACTGAGTTTTGGAAATTGAGAGTTATTTTTCGACGAGATTGTGTCTGGTGAATGGTGATCAAAAGGTTGTGCGCAGTTTTTCACTTTTTTAAAGCTAATATACACTGAGCTGAAACTTCACCAGGTTATGCTCTCGACATTCTTCTTTGGATTTTAAGTGATGTTATTATTGAAAATGAACAAAATGCATAAAAAGCAATTGATCGGATACGTCGATTTTCACATTGTGAAATGTATAAATCAATTTACTTACAAAAACGAGTTTGAAAACTCCCCATCCACTCTTATCATACAAATAGCCATACAAACCATACATGCAGCAAAAGTAATACCAATATAACAAAAATAGTACTGAAAACACCCAAAACCCTAAAATTTGTCACCCAAAAAACCACAGAAACTAAACAATTCAGATAGAAAACTATTAACAAAAATAAAACCTTGTTCTTTAACCAAAATAATAATGTAACTACATACATATATTGCAACTCATGTATGTGGTTGTCAGCTGTAAATAAAGAAATGAAAAAAAAAAAAACTACAAAAGGTAGCTATTGTAAAGGCAAGTAAAAAAATGGTTGAATTAGCTGAAAAGAATATTAGCTTAAAAACTTAATATTGCTTAATGCCAAATTATAGAGGAAAATATTCAGCCATTATACTTTCATCGCTTGACATTACACAGCGATAATATACTTTAAAATTTCAAAGGTACAGAACATGATTATATTTGAGAGACATGTATATAGAATAAATTTATCCTTGAGAAAGTGTCGTAGTTTACACAATGTTTACACAAACATCCATAAACATCAGATCATTGGTCAAAATCCCAGGCAAAAGTAAGGCAACCTTCACAACAACAATTGTCATAAAAATTAATACTACAATATGTAAACATGTACATGTACATAATGTTATTTGCATGCAGATATACAACCAACAATTCTCATATTTTAGTTTTTTTTTGGGGGGGGGGTGAATTTCTTTCTTTGATGTGCTTGGCAGGTTTTAACACATGTTCAGCTGGGGTAATTATCAGCATCCAGACTCCAACCGGTAAACATAGTGTTTAATACTGGCCAAGAAATATTTATTCCCATTCATAAACAATTTTTCAAATCAAAACTTTTTAGCCCAAAAGTAAAAAATTTCCAACAATTTTGTTCAACAATTTTACTTCATGTTTTTCGAAACACCCCTCTAGCTATAGAATGGAGTGTGCAGCTGGTAAGAAAGTTGTAAAGAACTCCTTTTATGGAGATTGGCGAGCGCGTTGTGCGTACTATGCGATGTCGGGCAGAATGCAGCTGTGGCGGTGTGTTGTGAATTTTGGACTATGAAATACTGACTCACTGGTAGTATTGCGCATGCCTACATAAGGATTGTGAACGTTTAACCAATAAAATGGTAAAAGGCACTGGATTTCATCTGAGTCCACATTTCATGTGACACTGGAAAAGTGTTTTAAGACCAGCCAGCCGGTCTTTATCATCTGTTTAAGACCGGCCATGTGACAGGCTCTCGACCAATAGGAATGGGTAAACTGTCCTAGATTTTTATGATTACCAAATAAATGAGGGAAATATTCATCAGACTTTCATTGCTTGACATTACACAGTGATAATATACTCGTTTAAATTTTAGAAGTACAATTATAATTGAGATACACATATATATAGAATGATTTTGTTCTTTGCAAAGTTTTATGGATTATGAATGTTTACACATAAACATCACATCATCGGTCAAATTCCTAGGCAAAAATATTCACACTACTAAGTCAAGCTACACCAACAATTGTCATCATAATACTACTACAATATGTAAACATGTATGTGTGTACATAATGTTATTTGCGTGCAGATATGCAGGCATCAATACGCACATTTTGATTTTTCAGGGGCAAATTTATTTCTTTTAATATGAAATCAACATACATTTGTACTTTGCATGCTAATCTCTGATTACGTATGACTTTTTTCCCCAAATGCAATTAGAAAAATAACTGGTACTCAAATTATTTCATTTGTGCATGTACAAGTACTGAGCTGCAAACCTCCACAGCCAGAGTTACTTTTCTTTAGTTTGTCAGTGATATATTCTGAATACAGACTCAAAATGGCAGGCTGTTTAAAGTCCCATACTGGCCAGTGGGGTCCACTGTACTAATTCAAGCCCCATTGAAAACAGTGTAAAATCAACAAAGTTCAGGGCCAAGTAACATGCAAGCCAACATCACTGGGGTTTCTGAAACAAAAAATTAAATTATTGTCTTGTCTTTCATCTTTTCATTTCTTTTCAATTTTACGTACATTAGCCAATTACATTTTTAAATATTCACACCCAAATAAAATCACCTCCCGAAAAGTGATAGTTCCCGAGCCTGCATGTAGCCATTTTAAGAGTGGCACCCTTCCACTTTCACAGGCAAATAGGACCCATTTTTTCATCCGTGATTTTATCAAGCCTGCCCTCAGATGGAAGCCCCAAAACCAGGGAGTTGATCCTTGGGTATATTTAAACAATTCCACCGTTTTTAAAGCCAAACGGTCTCCGTTTTCAAAAGAAATTGTGGGGGCACTTTTTATGCTAATCAGCTGGCGTAGAAATTCTCGCTTGAATTAGTTCAGTGCACCCAGTGTGTGGTATTGTCCGAATGACCTGTGGCATAGGGGTCAACCTAATGTAAATATCTACCAATAGGGTGCTTCATATAACATGACACATGAGTGTGCAGGAGAAGTAGGCCAATCAAAGTAAAGGGGAGGTGGCACAGCCAAGACGCATAGCAAGCAATAAGATAGTTGAAGCACGAGGCCGTCATCTGTCCTATATACTTGTGTGCTATGAGGTACCGGGTAAAGTCTCCGGTAAAGCAATAACAACACTACAATTCAAAATGGGAGCTTATATTTAAGATTTGTTCATAACACACTCACAAATGACACAGAAATACTTGGCAATTAATGAGTTACCATGAATGATTGAATAGCATTATGGCAACATTGTGAAAAAAACTGACAATAAACTGCCTAGCATTTGGTGATTTCACAAGGGGAAGTGACCACAATAAAAACTTGACCAATAGTAAAACACATGTTCTCTTTCATGAAAACGGATTACCCAAAGTTGGATTGCTATGTACATTTTGACAGGGGCACTGGCCCTTAGAGACATAACTAAATAAAACTTTTGTTTCTCATCATATCAGGCAGTTTCTTTTTCATGGCAAGTTTTTTGTTCCTCAAGAAATAAAAGAATGCAGCTCAGTTACATATTTCCGACCTGGAACTAAGTTGATTTGATAATTTTAGTCTATATTTTATCAATTTCTGACATAACTGCAACATTTGCAATAAGTCATTTCTATCTGTGGTGAAATTCAGCATTACTTTGTTGGCTAAGAAATAAAAATTGTGTTTGCTATTACATTGTAAAAACAATTGATTAGGAGGTGGACAAAATATTTAACTTTTGCTAAAATTTTGTTTAGCCATTTATATTATTGGCTGGGATGATGGTTGCTTAAGTTTTTTTTTAAATTATTTATTAACTTTTTTTATGTATACATAACAGTTAACATAAATAAGGAAAGGTTTGCGGAAACACCATGTGCGAATAATTTCTCAACTAAGAGAATGGTTCTGAAAAGAACCAGAGGTATAAACTTGACGCTCCGGTCAGTATGCTCTGACCGTATGCTCTGACCGTCTTCATTCTCTTAGTTGAGAAATTATTCGTACATGGTGTTTCCGCAAACCTTTCTTTATTTAGTATCTCCACCAGGCAAAGCCTCAAATCTTACTTAACAGTTAACATGTGAATCTACTGTATCTGCATTTGCTGTGCTGTTCTAGGCTTCGCTGCACGGTGCGGCAAGGCTTCGCTGCACGGTGCGGCAAGACCGCACTGCCAACCAACTTACAAAATTCATTACATTTTTTTAAAATGCAGGACGATGTTTACAAAAATCTAGGGTGGGGCAGCACCACAATTTAAAAAAAACCTGTTATTTATGAATAAAATTATTTAGGTTCTGTATAATTTTCTAGGTGGGTAGGGTAATAGGAAGCATTGGTCCGTTCCTTTATTTCAAATTAGTTGTCAATACTGTAAACCAAATATATCGTAACAAAAACTCTGTTTAATATACCAACTTATTTCTAAGTGCAAACTGCAAAAAGCAAGTTTAATAAGCAATATACCAGAAGTGTTGCAAAAATTAACAACTTTGTATACCCTGATAACTATGTTTAAAATAATCTTGCAAAACTATTCATAACTATTCATATGCAAAAGCTAACAACTACAACCCTGTTTAAAACATATGCAAAATAATGGTGCAAAAAATGACATTTCATCAAACCTGGGAAGAAAGAAAGTTTTCCATAACCACGCATAAAATGTAGTCAGTTACAAATAACTAGTAATGCTTTGATACTGTCCCACTCACACTTTCCCCTGTCACTGTAAATGTCTTCGCTTTAATTTTTTGTAATATATTTACATCAAGAGGCAAGAATGAAAACTAATTATGCTTAAGCTACTCTTCAATTTCAATGGAATAATAAACTCACCATTCATGTAGAATTCAAATCTTGTGCAATTCAATTCCCTCAGTTTCTTCCAATAAAGGCTTTTCTTCCCCGCTTCCTTCACCTGCAGGCTCTGCAGGTGATGGGTTACCTTCCCCATCTGCAGGTGGTGGATCGATCTCTGCACCTGCAGGTGGTTGGTTGACCTCCCCATCTGCAGGAGACGGGTAGCCCTCTGCACCTGCAGGTGGCGGATAGCCCTGCGCGCCTGCAGTTGGTTGATTGACCACAGCACCTGCAGGTGGCGGGTAGCTTTGTGCACCTGCAGGTGGTGGGTAGCTTTGTGCACCTGCAGGTGGCGGGTAGCCCTGTGCACCTGCAGGTGGCGGATAGCCCTGCGCGCCTGCAGTTGGTTGATTGACCACAGCACCTGCAGGTGGCGGGTAGCTTTGTGCACCTGCAGGTGGCGGGTAGCCCTGTGCACCTGCAGGTGGCGGGTAGCCCTGTGCACCGTCAGGTGGTGGATAGCCCTGTGCACCTGCAGCTGCAGGTGGTGGATAACCCTCTGCACCTGCAGGTGGATACCCAGTGGCGGGCGGGTAGCCTGGCTGATCAGGGGGCGGGTAACCCCCTGGTGGGTACGTCGGGTCTCCCACTGGCGGTGGGTGTGCAGGATCCCAGGTCGGGGGCATTGCAGGCAGGTTGTAGGTTGGGTACTGAGGGGCATACATGAGCTTACCAAAGGTGTAGTCATGGCCACTCTTGCTGGGAATCTCCTGGAGTCCATCTATAGCAACCTCATAACTTGGAGGCGGCAGAACTGGGATAAAGATATAAATGATCTTCTTGATTAGCAAATTTTTCAGATGGAGTGAATTGAGGGTTAGTCACATGAAAACAGCAAACAATTATTGGCTTACAGAATGATAGATCAACCATAGCAGATCAATCCCTTATAAGGCAGCAGTGTTGTAGGACTCAAGTCCAGGACTTGGACTCAAATACATTTCAAGTCGTAATCATAGTTCAGTGACTTGGCTTGCACTCGTACTCGGCTTTGATCATCATGACTCGGACTTGACACTAAATATAATTCTGATGTCTATTTTCTAAAAATACCCTTTCAAGGGAGTATACAACATTTGCTTTTGCTGTAATTTTCAGAAATGGAAAGATTTGGGAGGTTAGTATTTTAAGGCAAATATTGCCACACTGACTTGTTTAAAGTTTTGTGCTCGAAGATGCTGGAAAAACCAAGAAAAACAATCACGTTCCTGTAGTCTGGTTCCCTGACCCCACTTAAGATGAAATAGAGCAATTTATAGACTTTGGGGAATTGTAAGGTAAAGGAACCAGACTAGCTGTCTTGTGCCCATCCATAGGTGTGTAATCGACTGCAAACAAAATGCGGACTAACTAAATATGGTAAATTGGGGGCAGTATTTGATACAAAAATTCCACTTTTCTTGAAAATGACAGCACACCAAGGTGCCATGATTTTACAGGATGCTTTAGACTGTCATTCACTAACAGCCCAGTAAGGGATTTCTTAATAATTTGGTATTTTTCTTTTTTGATGTTTTCAAATGTTGTATATTCCCTTTAAGCAAAGCTAAGTGACTTGACTAATGATAGGTACTTATCTTGGCACCTCTTGGAGTGTATGGCAAATACCCCGTTATGTCGTAGGTTTTGAATGATGGTCCACTGAACACATATTAGTAATGTTCTTAAGGCAAGTACTAAAGTGTTTTGGAGGGTCTGGTCGAGCAAGGAGTTCAAATGATCTTACCATTGCTGGCTGGCTGATGAACCACCACGGCCGTGGGGTCCGGGTAGACGGGGCGATACACCGGAACAGTCCCTATGGTGATGGGCAAGAACACTTCAGCATCGAAGGGGGTGTTCTCTATGTCACCTTCAAACTGCCGGCAAGAATGTCAGAACATTCAGGAAGTTAACATCAGGGTTCCCATTAATCCCATGAGTTTTCCAGGACAACTTTCAGGCTTTCCATGACCAATTCCTATGCTTTTTTGGGGGGCATCTTAGGAGCCTATTTACAATACCTTGGCCAGTCATCGCACTGTAAGGCAAGGGATGTCACTCCCTTTCAGCCTTCCAGTCTGACACAAGACCACTGAGCACCACAAAAGCATCACAATGGTGTACTGAACATGTAACAACTATAAGGCATACATGCATTAGGCCAAAAAAAAAATTTCTGCTTCCGGTTACCCCAACTACCCTATTTTGACTAATTTCTTTTGGGGGGAAATGAAAATGAGGAAAAAACACCCCCAAAACAATCAATTACTGCCTTTTACCCTCGACTACACACAGACACCTTGATCAACACAAAAAAATGCCCCCCCCCCCCCCCAAAAAACTCCCTACCTACCTACCCTAGTTTCAAATGCCAATTAATCGGAAGCAGACATTTTTTGTGGCTTATAAACAAACAGTAGTAAACTCACATTGCAAAACAAATGGAAGACTGCCATAGCCAAATATTGTGCATCATCACATGCAGGACTCAACAAATTTGTCCTGCAATATTATATTTCCTTGACGCCTTGCAAAAAAACAAAATTCCATGACTTTTATGACTTTCCATGTTCCAGGATTTGTCCATGTACGACTGTGGGAATTCTGTATCACAGGCCCTTTCACACAATCCAAAAATATCTGTGTTAGAGCCCCAAGATTTTGAGAACACCTTTCCAATTATAGCCAGAATCCAAAATGGCTTCTACCATTTTTTTTCTACAAAAAAAAGGAGAGAATATATTTACGTGGACTGCATAACCAATCTTGATGATGTTGCATCCCTGAGGGCCAGTGGGAGGGATGGGGGGTATGATGTGAGGTTTCCAATCCATCCTAGCTGTTTCACCTTCCTCACATCCAGGAGCTTTCTCCTTCATCACGTTATACTCACGACTTGTTGAGTGACGCCCTGATGAAGAGAAGAACTTCACGTACTGAGGGGGGAAAAAAAGAAAGAAAATAAACCTGATAATTTTATGGACAAAAGTGGCCCATTACAAGGCTGGTAGCCACTCAACCTAAGTAAATGACAACTAAACAAATGTAGAACGACAGAAACAAAAGAAGTGGAGAGCAAAGCAGATTCACTGATTTAAAGGGAATGTACATCATTGGCTTTTGCTGTAATTTTCAGAAATGAACTATTTGGGGCATTAGTATAATTGATCAAATATTGTTACACTGACATGTTTGAAGTTTTGTGTTCGAAAATGCTGGAAAAACCAAGAAAAACAAAATTATTCAAGTAGTCTGGTTCCCTGACTCCACTAAAGATGAAATGGATCAAACATACCGGAAAATTGTAAGGTAAGGGATCCAGTCTAGCTGGCCTGCAGCCGTTCATGAGCATGGAACCAATAGCGAGCAAAACAAAATTTAGACTAAAAAAAAATGGTAAATTTGGTGCAGTAATTGAAACATAGTTAGGTTTTTCCAACGGTGGTCGGCCGACCAGCGTTGGAAATGTATACAAATATACCATTTTCTTGAAAATGGCTTCACACCAGGTGCCATAATTTTACAGGATGCTTAAGCATGTCTATTACCAACATCCTAGTAAGGTATTTCGTAACAACTTGGTAGTTTTATTTTTCGATGTTTGCAAATGTTGTATTTTCCCTTTAACAAAGAACTTGACTGGACCAGCACAACTTTACTCAAGGGCTGCCTCTTCCCAGACACCATCCGCCTGTAGTATAGACCATTATCACGCTGCAGCCATTTGATTTTTTTCCCATTCAAATCAATGTAACCAAAGCGAGGCTGGAGGGAAAAATAGTCTGGTTCCTTTTTGCACAAAAACATAATCATTCAGTACTGTTATTGAATACGGGGAACATGACTAAAATGGTGGAAGCATGATACAGGTCTATTCACTGCCCGAGCAAGTTGATGAGTCACCGACCCTCAATGTCTTCAAGACGAGAGTGAGTGGTGTCACCTTCAGCTGATCAAGCTGTCCCAAATAGCTGATTTGTTCACTTGCACGTTTGCCTTTTTATGCCTTGAGTTATGTCTGCACTTGCTTGTTTGAATTTCACCCAATCTGCGAGTAGACTCCAGAGAAGGTTTTTGCACGGCCTCCCTGGCCAGTTTACTTTCTTTTTTTTTCTTTTTTTCGTTAGTTGATTAATTTTTGTGCATGCAATTCTTTTTTATATTTAAATATTTAGTTTTTTATTTTTAGTTAAAGAATGACTGTATTTTTATTAGAATATATTTCTGTTTATTTTGATCCCATTCCTGTAATTGGCAGTTTTTCTGCTGTAAGATGTTGCTAATGAATAAATCAATAAAATGATGATGATGATGTTGGCAGCCTCCCAAACTGTTCAGGGCACGTCTCAATTCATATCCGGGACGAGTTCCGGACAAATTGCGGGTAGATTCACTTTGTCCGAAAGGAGCTCATCAGGCATTACTTTGTACATCGAGTTAGCTCTATTAATTTAATATAGCTCTATGATGTGCACTAATGTCTTTGTTCAGGAGGTGCTAATCAGAAGCCTACCGGTACCTATATGGGGTTCATGGCATCTGACGAGATTGCACTGCTGGGTTCAATAGGCCTATCCATTAAGCCCTACCAACTATGCATGTGGGGTAACAACATGAGCGCCCCTTCAATACATGTACCATACTTTATGCTCCAGACAAGTGTGCCATATGTGCATGCACGACATTTTGGATCGCATGACATACATCACATTTGGATTCCCAAATTGTCATGCCAGGACCATGTACATCATTCTACAGTCAAGGTTTTTTTAGTTGCCTCACGACTCTGACGAAAACAAACAAAAACATTTTCAAAATGACGGGCGGAGGTGATTCAGTGACTGTTTCATGAACAACCAAATCCTACACAAACAGCTGTCGTCAATGATGTTAGCCTTGTCCAAGACGTTACGCACCTACACCAAGTTTCGTGAAATCGATTGTAAGTTTATTGCACAGCAGTGCAATAACAGGGATGTGAGTGACCACTGATAACAATAGCTGAAAACACCTGAAAAAAGGTGTAAAAAAGCTGAAATCCCCAAAAGACGAAGCTAAAATCAGCTTTAAAGCTTAGATTTCACACCCCTGAATAAATTTGTTAAGCAAGTCCTACGCATGGTGTAAGTTACGCGCTGTTTTTCGTGAAATCGACTGCTGGACTCACCTGCTTGAGTCGCACATTGAGACAGAGGATCTTGCGGGTGCTGTTGTTTTCCACTGTGCCAAAGACAAACATGGTCTCCCCGGGAACATAGCCGGCCTTGTCGACGGAGGCATTGGTGATGATGGGTCCAGTGGCGCAGCAACAACAGCAGACAGTGTTGGTGTCCGATTCACTTACAGGATACTATGGAAAATGGTGGAGGAAAAAATCACCAAACAGCTTTTGAGTGGAAAAAAATGTTTGGGTTGAACTGTTTCCAGTAGCGGCCCTAAGGGGGAGGGGAGGGGGGCATGGGGGGGGGGAGGGCATTTTTTTGGGGGGGGGGGGCCAAGCTTGCAACAAGCTTGCAGGGTACCAAAAATGCAAAATAGGGTAAGCTTGCGGCAAACTTTCAACAAGCTTGCAACAAGCTTGCAACAAGCTTGAACAAGCTTGCAACAAGCTTGCAACAAGCTTGCGGCAAGCTAAGCTTGCAGACAAGCTGGCGGACAAGCTTGTAACAAGCTTGCAGCAAGATTGCAGCAAGCTTGCAGCAAGCTTGCAACAAGCTTGCAGGGTACCAAAAATGCAGAATAGGGTAAGCTTGCGGCAAGCTTGCAACAAGCTTGCAACAAGCTTGCAGCAAAAGCTTGCAGCAAGCTTGCAGCAAGCTTGCAGGGGGAGGGGCATTCCCCCTCCCCCATACCAAAAATGCAAAATAGGGTAAGCTTGCGGCAAGCTTGCAACAAGCTTGCTTGCAACAACTTTCAGTGACTGCAAGCTTGCAAGATACCGAAGCTTTCCACAATGCCTGCCACAAGCTTGCAGCAAGCTTTCCTGCTAGCTTGTGGCAAGCTTGCCGTGCTAGCTCACCCCGGTTTTCAGCTTGCAGGGATTGCGACAAGCTTGCAGGCAAGCTCAGGCAAGCTTTTAGCTTGCTGCAACGCTTGCAGGTAATCAGGCAGGCTACAAAATTCTAAAATGAGATTTACTGTTCCATATTTACCAGGTACATGCATGAAATGTCAGGGCATGAAGGTATTTTGACATTTAGTTAAAACTCAAATTAAGTAGATAAAAAAAAATAACTTTCAGTCGGAATCAATAAGGTACATGCATGTACCTCAAGGAACTTGATGTATTTAAGACTATTTTTGAAGGGGAAAAATCAAAATGTTTTATACAGTCCGAGATAATCTTTTTTTAATTTTAATTAAATTTTAATCATTTTTTTCCCCCAGAAGATGTCTTGTCAGAAGATTCCAGGCAAGTTGTGGTTGACTTTCTATTTGCATGCCATTAATCGATACTATTTTTCAGAGCATAAATTGGCAGGAAACTTGTATGCACTGTTGACTTTGTACCAATTGATTATGAAGTATGGGGACAAATTGTAATTGATCATTTTTGTAAACAACAAATTTCTACCAACAAAAATTGAAATCAAAGAATGTTGAATCAGCAAGTGATCCTTAAAGGGAATATTATACAACATTTGCAAACATCGAAAAGCAAAACTACCATTTTTTTACGAAATACCTTACTAGGATGTTGGTAAATGACAGTCTAAAGCATCCTGTAAAATTATGGCACCATGTGTGAAGTCACTTTCAAGAAAATGGTATTTTGTGTAAATTTCCAACGGTGGTCGGCCGACCACCGTTGGAAAAACCTAACTATTTTTCAACTACTGCTCCAAATTTACCAATTTTTTTCAGTCCAAATTTTGTTTGCTATTGGTTACATGTTCATGAACGGGTGCAGGCCAGTTAGACTGGTTCCATTATCTTACAATTTTCCGGCATCTATAAATTATCCATTTTATCTTTAGTGGAGTCAGGGAACCAGACTGCTTGAACTTTTTGTTTTTCTTCGTTTTTCCAGTATTTTCGAACACAAAACTTCAAACATGTCAGTGTAACAATATTTGATCTGTTATACTAACCCCTCAAAATAGTTCATTTCTGAAAATTACAGCAAAAGCCAATGATGTACATTCCCTTTAAAGGGAATATACAACATTTGCAAACATCGAAAAATAAAACTACCAAGTTTTTACGAAATACCTTACTAGGATGTTGGTAAATGATAGTCTCAAGCATCTTGTAAAATTATGGCACCTGGTGTGAAGTAATTTTCAAGAAAATGATATTTTTGTATACATTTCCAACGGTGGTCGGCCGACCAGCGTTGGAAAAACCTAACTATTTTTCCACTACTGCTTCAAATTAACCATTTTTTCAGTCCAAATTTTGTTTGCTATTGGTTACATGTTTCATGAGCGGGTGCAGGCCAGCTAGACTGGTTCCCGTGCCTTACAATTTTCCATCATCTATAAATTGATCCATTTTATTTTTTGTTGAGTCAGGGAACCAGACTACTTAAACATTTTTGTTTTTCTTGTTTTTTCCAACCTTTTCGAACACAAAACTTCAAAAATGTCAGTGTAACAATATTTGATCTATATATACTAACCCCTCAAATAGTTCATTTCTGAAAATAACATCAAAAACCAATGATGTACATTCCCTTTAATTGGGAAACAACTTGTCCATAAACAAAAAGTTACTCTATGATTGCTGTTTTGTTTTTTTGGTAATATCACAATCAGGCATCAACATCTTTCCACTATGCATCCAAAAATTGTAAAATCCAAACCCATCCTAAACTAATAAGGCTAATTATAAAGCCATAGGCCTGTGCCTTTTAATTTGTAAACCAATCGAAAAAAATAATTCAAATCGATTGCACAGGGTAATTTCTGTTTTTGAAATTAAAGTAGAAAAATCAGCACAGGTTGGGGTTGTATTCTGTCACATCACTTACTGCCTTGACTTTTTACTTGGCGGGTTTAAGAAAAGATTACTGATTGAGAGAACTCGATCAGTAATCTGTACTATCATATAATGCAATTTGCACTTTGCTAGACCTGCAATTGATAAAATATGTCATTGTCAGGAAATACATGCAACTGTTTTACAATTTAGTTATACTATTACCACTTGAGACAAATGATACCAGCAAATTTTTACAGTCATGTTCATGGTTGTACCACATTGTGTACATGTACAGTACATGTACACCTACATGACCTAGGTTTGTGTACATCATGTGCATGTAGTACTACATATAATGCACATCCATCATAATAATAATAATAACAAAGCATTTGTGTCCGTATTTTTCCCGATTTCTTCAACAGGTTGAATTTGCATATTATATACAGCAATACATGTACTTTCTTAATTAACACAATGTAATACAATGCAGAATATGCAGTCTGCAAAACTATCAATCGAAGTTAACCGAAATATATGAAATGAGAGCCTGACTTAGCATCGCACCATCGACGCGTCTCACATACAGGACTTCCTCCATATTCAGAGACAAGTAATGATGCATGCTAAATGTCCTGAAAAGTTATATTTCCTGAATCTTTGGGTTTTGTCACTTGACACCGCCCATGACGGAAGCTACTGGCCTGCCAGTTAGTAACCAGGGAAAATCAAAAGGTTAAAGGTGCAATACCCATGACCTTGAGAAAATCCTGCAGATGATTTCCTGCAAAATTTCCTCTGAAAATTCAAGGATACTACCAGTCGTCTAAAGGTATAAAATTTGATTTTCCTGATTATTAACCAGGTAATTAGTTTCAACACTCAAAGTGACAACAAACAAATTCAGGGAAAACACCTTTCAGCAAATTTAGCACAGAATTCGCTGTGTGGCTCTAAATACGGAGGAAGTCCAGTACATATTTGAGACACAATTTTGGGCTAGACTTACAGATTTGTGCCAAGTACACTCAACAGCCAAAATGTCACATAGTGCAAACAGCAATTGACAGGCACCCCTTCTTTGTTTTTGTTTTTCTGAGCAAGATCACACAGCTTGAAGGAATTGGGGCTGGCCCTGTGCACTCCTGGGTGGGCCAGCAGCAGGATTTGAACCTGTTGCCCTATGAGCAGTCACAACCCCTAACCACTAGGCTACACTCTCCCATGGGTGAGTGAGTGCCAAATAGATGAACAACAGAATAGTTTTGTTTACCATGGCCATAGGTATCTGCCCGAGGTCAATCGGCTGACCTGTGACAGTGAACAGCCTCTGTGTTTCATGGTCAAACTTCCACGGCCGGTCGATCTTGCACATCACTTTATAGCGGATCCAACCGACGCTGGACTCAAACGGGAACGGCAGCGGAACATCAGGAATCTTAAAGGAAAACGGGAAGCGATGCTCCCCTTCTTCCAAGACACGCTTTCCACTGTCATCTAACAGAAGCAGTCACAAATGTACTATTAGCTTTTATTGTAATGCAATTAAAACAAAAGAACTACTGTTATTTGTTAACCTAGTACCCATCATCCAAATGGGGACTAGCCTTGGTCAAGGCGTTCGTCATTATTCGTCTGTACGCAATAAACGATCAGCGGCATCTCCTCGCTATACAGTGCATTAAAAATACAGTGGGAACAGCAACCTCATGCGGCCACTATATACAAATCATTTGGATCCAGACGAACGCCTTGGTGCAATCGTCCACAAAAGCTTATTGTTTTTTCCAGCACATGATCTCGTATGCAAATACAGAAAAGTGTAGGCGGGGATAATATGTGGAGTGTCCAATCACACCTTGGTAAATCTTGACGTCATCAAATCACTTGCAGCCTATTCGCCCTTTGCGGACGTGTCAGAAACCCTAATTTTTGTGCATTGGCGCTGTGTGTACAGTGAGACATCGACACACAACGTGAGTGTATGTATAATGTACAGTTCATGTCCTAGTACTAGTCGCCAGTACCGCACGCTAACTATATGCAAGTTTCCATGCAACAATCGACCAATAAGAAAACAACTTTTAAGGTCAGCTAAGGCTAAATGAGCACCACCCCAAAACCTCACATGGACGACTGGACCAAGGCGTTCGTTCGTCTGGATCCAAATGATTCGCATAAAATAGTGGCCGCATGAGGTTGCTGTTGGCGCTGTATTTTTTAATGCACTGCATGCATAGCGAGGTTATGCTGCCAATCGTTTCTGTGTACAAACGAATAATGATGAACGCCTTGACCAAGGCTAAATGGGGGTGCTCTTCAAAACTGACCATTATTATGCACAATAAAAATAAATACCGATTTTCACGGCGCATTATAATGGTTTTTGAGCTGGTTTTTTTCTTTTTTGGGTTGATGTCAGAACTCTATCCATTTATGGAAAAAACTTACTGAACAAAATGTCTTTCCAAAAATCAGCCAGGGAGGGGCATGCCACTGCTGAAGAAGACGACCCCTATTTTTCCCAAATTTCCCAATTGCATCCAAAATGCTCAGAATTGGAAGTTCCAAGCCCAGGCCAGTGGTTCATTGCCATACATTTCTTCAGTTCCCCAATTTTATGGCTCTCAGAACTCTCTAATGTAGAATATTTTGAGGGTATAACTTTTATTGATGAGCTCGGTGGATGGGTTTAGGCCTATTCACAGGTGTGCCCTCTTCATGCTCAAACATGTTGGCCCGCGTCATGGCATGAATAAAACTCCTCCAATAGACCTTTATCATGCTGCCACCATTTCAGTCATGCTCCCTGTATCCAATAACAGTACTGACTTATGTTTTTTATGCAAAAAGGAACCAGACTGTTTTTCCTTCCAGCCTCGCTTCGATTACATTTTGAATGGAAATAATCAAGATGGCTGCAACATGATAATGGTCTATATGAGAGTCCAAAGAAATTACAGTCGACAGTCACTAGCACCCCTTGGGTAGGGCAATGGGGATGAGTGAAGGCCTTACCTTTCCCCCAGCAGGTGATTTTGTCCTTGAAGTATGTCTCGTTGCCCTCGTAAGTCTTTTTGTCGTCCCCTGACCCTTCACTCCAGTGAGTGTGAGCTTTGCCCTTAAATTTGATTTTGATTGCTATGGGGAGGAGGGACAAGGGAAAAAGACAAAAACAATGTTAGTTTTCTCTCGATTGTAGTTTTGTACTGTCTGTTCCAATTATTATACAGGACTGTCTTAGTGTATTAGTAACTAAGTACAAACTATCCTTTTTTGATTTTCATCACGTGGAAATGAAAACAGTGCCATCTATGGAATGAACAAATCAAGAGTAGCTCACCCAGATCGACTCAGTTTGATTAGCTCAGACATCCTTCTCGAGGCTCAACCGGGTCAGCCACCACAGATACGTCACATGCATGCATTGGTCATCCAAGAAGCGAACCAAATATGGCGGCCGGACAGTGGAAATCTTGTGTGGATCCAAAAATCAACTTTATTTGAAGCCCAAAGATAATGTTTTTTTTTTTTTTTAATTTGTTGCGATTTTAGAGGCTATAATTCATGCCCAACTTTTTTTTTGGAGTTTTGCAATTGCCTGAAAAGCAGTAAACATGGTAAATCTCAAACTAACCAAGTCCAAAACGGGCATTTTTATCAGTGGCTACTGGCTACGGCTGCGGCTACAGACATCACGTGAAGATCGTGATTGCCCATTAGCCCAGCTGTCGTGGCTAACCCATCTGGCTTTACCCATGTCAAGCCGGTCGAGCTACTCGAACACACCTACAAACAATGTATAAAGCTATGGGTTGTGACATCACAACTCGGCCCAAATTTGCTATCAAAAGAGGACAGCATGAACCTGCCGAGTGCTGAGATTGCACTACCTCCATGGTTGCATCATAATATTAGCATGAATTGCTTTTCCTCAAATACGTTAAATACCTAAGATGCCTTGGTTCTTGGTTGGTTCTTCTCCTAAATACTCCACGTGGGAGTTTATACAGGTCGGAAACACCGGGGCAAACCCCTTCTCTTAGCGATTAAGTGTTTACTGGGTTCTTTGACATGCATTTAAATACAACACACGGGACCTACGGCTTAACGTCCCATCCGAAGGACGAAGCAATAATGGTTAAGTGCCTTGCTTAAGAGCACAAGTGTCCGCTGGCGGGCTCGAACCCACGTCACTGTTGCCTCTGAAACACCAGAACATGAGTCCGGTGCTCTTAACCGCTAGGCCATGACACTCCATGCCTTGATAGTAGAAATTCTTGAACGTAAAACTATTAAGAAAACATTACATTTCATAACATTACAACTGGATCTCAGATGAAACCCTTATTGCCTGGATTTCAGATGGCATACATGTATCCTCCTGACATATTCATCTATTTACTGTGCACTGTCACACTAGAAAAAGGCAGTAGCGTAGTTTATGATAATATTGGACTCGCCAAATAGCTGGTGGTGTTAGTTGCAAAGCAATAGGAACGCTCTGGAGAGAGGGTGGGTTTTTTACATATTCGGGACATTTGGTGTGAAATGCGGATGACATGCAGAAATGCGGTAAATCATGCACAAATGCGGGGTTGATCACATGTACATCTAAGGCACGTGGGTGTCTTCTAATTCACATCCACATAGGGCATCAACTGGAATAGGGTGTTTGATGGTAATATGCGCCATCTTGCCCGCGGGGCAGTTTTACTCGCGTTGCTGTGTGCGCATCGTCAATGGAAATCTTTGGCGCTTCCAAGTCATCATACGGTCATTCCAAAATGCGCCTGCGTCTAGCAACACGTGTTTTTTTTGCCCCGTGAGCAAGTGCATATTACCGTGAAACACCTTATTTAGTGGATGTTGTACTTTCAAGGCCCTATACTAAAGAAATAGAAAGAATGTCGCAACCTGACACTGCCTTTTTCTTCATATCATCTTAATGATGGCATCCATGATGAAGGTCAGTCATTGAAAAAATGACGACAAGACATGAATCTGGGACTGAGAAACATTTCCAATTTTGTTAAAAAATACTTTTAAATTTTTTTTCTTGACTCTCCCATGGAGGAACTTCCTCCATGACTCTCCACAGACTTTGTACACAACCACTGAAGTGGTGTTAGGTCAGGTTGTAATATTCTTTCCAAAGAATAAATGGTCATGATCTGGAGTTATTGGAAAGGAAGGTTGCTTGCGGTTGCAGAAGGCATTTAACGATGATAAAATTCATTCAAGCACCTGTCAAAAGAAGTCTGAGTAACTAGGACTCTAGGAATTGCCTTTTTTAACATTTGGACCTCGCCCGACCATGTCTCCAAATGTTAAAAAAGGCGATTCATAGAGTCCAAGTTACTCGGACTATAAATAATTCAAGAGTTAGAACTTAAGAAGGGTGAAGGGCACTTCTAGAATTATAAGGCACCATAAGGCTATAACGGAAAGGTGCCTTCTGATTCTAGAAGTAGGTGAAGGGGTCCTCAACTATCAGACACTATCGCCAATTGAACACTACACCATTCATCCATTCCTAGTCCAAGGCCGCGCCAAGGGCGTGTCAATTTAAATTTTGTTTACGTTTTTACGCACATTTGACATCATCCTTCGGTGCTGCCAAAACTATCTTGATGTAACCGCTGATGACGTCGCCAGAGCTGAACACATCCAAGTCGTCTCCGTCGAAAACTATCACAAATGTTTTTAATTTCCCCATGATACTTAGATTATTTTAGTTTACGCTGGGCGCACATATGCACATCAATGTCATGCACATCAAAGTACATGCAGACCTCGATTTCAAGTTATGTTGCAGGGTCCGACCAGCGCAGCCGGCCGTACGCTTCGCTCATGCCGCAGCCTAGTCTAGCATAGCAGTACACATGCAGTGTGTCAAGCGCATAGCTAGCTGTACGTGCAGTACATGCAGCTTCTTTTGTCAACATCATAATAATATCCGGGGCATGCAGTACACACGTGACGTGACCTCCTCAACAGCTGAGAGTTCGCAACGGTCCCACGTCCTCCTGAAGCGCTTCAGCATCTAGCCCATGTTTTTTTTTTTTTGGGGGGGGGGGGGTTGATTAAAATAAGATGTGTTGCGCAAAAATAAATAACAAAGATAAGACAACCTGAAATTCACATTCATTTTCCATGTTTTTGTTATGCTCTTAGATCAATTTAAACATGAGATCAGACATTAAATTATTTAAAAACTAATTTTCCCCATTGTATAGGCCCCCTTTTATATTCAGGCCACACACAAAATGGGCTGGGAGTTGGACTGGCGGTTTGAATACAGAAAATTCTACATTCAAACCGCCTGGCGTGAGCGTTCCGAGCTTGTACATGATGCTTGAACTTATTTTCATCCTATTTACTTATATTCAGTGGCTACGCAGTTCTGATTCATTATGCTCACCGATAGGTGTACTACGTGTTTCCTAATCATTATGTTCCTAAAGATTACTAAGTCAAAATGTATACATTTCAAAGGTCGACAGTAACCAGCATAAAACCTTTCCCACAGCACATACAATTCAAACTAACAAAACAAAACAAAACAAAACAACAAATAACAGGGCAAAGACACACAATACCTGTCCGAATTTCAAATGAATTTAGTCACGACTCACAGAAGTACAAATGGAACTCTATTAAAGCCTCTTTTGCAGTATCAAAGTTGCTATTTCAAACAGAGTATGCAGGGCTATACATTTCACAATTAGTTGCCTTATATGCAAAGTATAATTTCCCAATTTAATTGTGCAGTGTACTGATGGGTAGTTCAATTAAATCAGCAAAAACAAACATGGTTAAAGCATGTTATCAGAAAGTATCACTTGATGATTGCCTATTTTGCAAATACTAAATAGAAATTGGTTATTTATAAAAAAAAATATTATAAATTTATTTAAGTGAAAATCACAAAAAGTACAGATTATGTACAAAAAATAACTCTTCTATAACCTTATTAATTGTTAATTGCACAACAGAAAGCTCAAGTTGGCTTCCCCCAAATTCTGAGAGGATGGGGGGAGGGGTGAAAGGTAGGCACATGCCTTGGACGATGGGCGATGGGGAGTGGGGGGAATCCCCCTGTGCCCATCCATGCCTACCCGTACCCATGCCTTGATGTAATTCATCTTTAATGTCTATTCAACTACAATGAAACATATTGACCTTTTGTGAGTTTGTGAGTTTTTTTTTAAACGAAATTAGAATAAAGTATAACCTTCATTGGGAAACAAAGGTCTGTTGAACAGATGTTGGACAATAGTAAAGGTTAAACTATACCAAAGTGAGCTTTAAATTTTTTTTTTAGAGATCCATCTGACCTACAAGAAAGTAACATGTCTGATTTCGGCAATACAATTAATACAATACTCTTACAAAACTTTTCATTTAATGGAGTTGAAAAATATAATTTGTTAAATTCCTATATTACCACTACTTTGTTAACAAGTTACTCCAAGGTTTGTACAGGCTCCTAAACAAGTCCATTTTTTCTACACTGACACTGTTCAACTGAAGCAAATGACGACACAAATGTATGGGCATGAATAATAACTTAAACTTACAAAAATACTACTCCAGCACTTTACAAGTCTTTTACAGTGTACATTGCCGGTATCAAAAATATCTCATATTCAACATACCCAAAGCTTCTTATCATTGTGTTGTACATGTATAACACAATTTTGTTATTAGAAAGGACCAATTAGGGTAACTCGCGCTAGCCTAAGGAGAAAAACAAAATGAAATGACAACTTTAAGATTGGCACAAAAATATCATATGATGAAAGGCAAGTCTTTATGAGTCAAATTAAGAAACTCAAAATTTTGATTGAAATAATGTATTCAGCTTCTTTTTCTAGTCATATTTGTGTACCATTGAGTTGTAAATACATCAATCACAGGTCATGTCCAATTACAATTCAAGAGACATGTCGTTTTCACAGTTCATTTAAAAAGCTTGTCGTATGACTTGAGACAGATTAAAATATTTTTTTGATTGACTTGTCACGACTTGTGATGACTTTATTAGAACAATGGCAGCTAGTAAATGGATTGGCTCCGATGGACCACATGCATGATCAGCAGATGGTATGTTGTGACCACATTTGAGCGCTCCATTGGAGTGACACACTGCAACACTGCATACACACACGTTTACGTTGCATACCTAGTGTGGACATTCCTTTGTTTTCGAGGAGTTAACAAAAACCATATAAAAAAGCCAATTTTTACTCACACTATGAAAACTCTTTCAACCCATTGTTTTTTAACTACAGTTCCCTCGAGTGTTTCTCTTCATTTTGCAACGGATAAACCTAAACCCCAAATGCCTCTAAACCTGTTTCCCAGAGAGGGGAAACCTTGTGTGGACATGGGCAAGTCCACACAACGTATTTGAAACCTGGTTTATGTGAACATCTTTTGTTCGGAAGTCCACACAGTGAATGCCATGCTTGTTCACACAACCATCTTCGTAAACACCAGCAATCGTGGACCCCCTTTTGTCCCGAATCCTCATTTCTCTGTTTGTACTCTTTTTAGCAACAGCTCTTATTGGTTTTGTACACGAATTTCAATCGTGGACGTTCGGTCAACCGTGGACGTATTGTTTCTGCCCTAACCCTTTTGTCCTAGGTCCACGATTGCTGGTGTTTACATACTCGGCCTTACATATACTTGTGGGGAAGACCTTTGATTCCCTCCTTTTGTTCTTCTTTGTTCCTACTGAAATCTCAAACTCCATAGCTTTTCCTTTATGGGGCAGATAGATTTGTAGTAGACTTCCTTTGGGGTGTATTGTTCTATTACTTTTTATAGGTAAAGGTAGAAGGTAAAGGGGGACGAGCCTGTGTTCATAGGAATGGAGTGCCCATCTCTCTTTCATTAGCGATTGGGCCAGACTCATATGCTGCTGTGGGGGGATCGCCACACCTCCTCCACAGCGAGTCTGTTACCTTCCCAGCATTGAATAATGCCGGTACCCATTTAACACCTTACACCTGGGTTGAGAGGAGTAATTGAGGTAAAGCGCCTTACTCGAGGGCACAACACGCATGGCCACGGTGGGGCTCGAACCCACAACCTCTCGATCATGAATCCTGTGCTCCACCGCTAGACCACACGTGCCCATAGTGGGTATAAAATTACGTTTTATACCCACTATTAAAAAGCAACCCTGTACATGCACACTCAGGTTTGCGCACATACAGTGTGAAGTACGCATTACTAATTTTATTCTGATTGTCCACAATCTCACCGTGTCCTTGCATTTGTTTAATCCTGCAGAATGGCATTCGCTGAAGCATTGTAAGCAATGCATTTGAATGTTACTCCCAGTGTGGTCTCCCCAAACCCTCATTTTGTAACTTTTAAGAGGATACTTATGAATAGAGTCCTTATAACGACATATATTTTAAACGTTTTGACAATCGTACTGACGATTACTTCTCAAGAGGCTATATTCTTTTGGTGTGCGAGGGCACTTGTAATGCCGATATGGGGGTACAACAGTGGAAAAATTGTGTTTATTGAAGCAGTTTATTATAAACTTTACTTCAATGAAATGTTAACAGATTTTCGAAATGCAGTTGATAACATTGAATTCACATTTGTGAATGCAATACCCCAGAATGGCGTCGCTGAGGCGTCCTCATTCGGTTAAAAATATGACCTACTGCACTCACTGATCTCCATAAAAATCTGGATAGCCCACTGGCTCTTAGAAGTGAAGTCACCATCCACCATATTACCACTCCCAGAACAATGGAATTTGAAACAAATCCATCCAAATTTAACCACAATCTTTACCTATTTTATAAAATGAATTGTTTTTTAAACAGTGCAAATAAATTTGTAACTTATTTTTTTTTTACAAAATACTTTAATTCTTGTTTAAAGGGAATATACAACATTTGCAAACATCGAAAAATAAAACTACCAAGTTTTTGCGAAATACCTTAATAGGATGTTGGTAAATGACAGTCTAAAGCATCCTGTAAAATTATGGCACCTGGTATACTGTCATTTTCAAGAAAAGTGGTATTTTTGTATCAATTTCCAACGCTGATCGGCCGATCAGCGTTGGAAACAACTGGCTTTTTTTTCAAATACTGGACCCAATTGACCATTGCACTTGTTTGCAATCGATTACAAACCTATGAACGGGTACGAGCCAGCTAGACTGGTTCCCTGACCTTACAATTCCCCAATGTATGTAAACTGCTCTGTTTCTTCTTATATGGAGTCAGGGAACCAGACTACAGGAAAATTATCGTTTTTCTTGGTTTTTATAGCATTTTCGAACCCAAAACCTCAAAAAAGTCAGTGTAACTATATTTGCTTTATATTTCCAACCCCCCAATTCCATCCATTTCTGAAAATTACAGCAAAAGCAAATGATGTATATTCCCTTTAAAGTTAAATTATATAAGTACGATGGGGGTGGTTATACTGGTACCCGTATCATATCAAAATTAAGAGATTCGGAACCAGTGCGCAGCTTCAAATGTGTGTACAGCGTGCAATAGCCGATGAGTAACCAAATTTTTCAACACGGAGACCAGTGATTGAACTGCCTTTTCATTCTAACTATCCCAGACCATAAAAAAAACCTTGGAATTGGAAAGAAAAAATTGTCTCTGTCTAGTTGGACTGGAGTGATTTCCTCTTCTTCTCTTTGTGCTTGGAGATGCAGACACCCGTCCCCCCAAACACCACGATGAGAAGCGGGATGCCTAGGCCAACCGATATGACGATGTAAACAGTCAGGGAAATGTACTCCTCTGGGGGATCCCCGTAGCCAATGGCGATAGACCTGGACAAACGGGAAAAACAGGGGGGAGGATAAAAAGAAAGAAGTTGGGAAATTATTTTGGTGACTGTGGAAGATGCTTTGCAGAGGGTGAAATAAGAGTCGGACATTTGAATGACCATTCAAAATTCGCATATAGATCTAAAATTGATTGTGCTTGGTTATTCTGTTTTGGACAGTTTTAGCAGGCTCATAATGATAAAGCAAGGTTCATTAACACTGGAAAATATTCTCACTGCACAAGTGAAAAATATCACATTTATTATCAAGTCAGTCACCAGTCTAAGGCAAGGTAGTCACAAGTCAATCACAAATTATTCAGTCTTAACTCAAGTGACAACTTTATTCAAATGTGATTCAACCATTCCCATCATTGTTCATCCCCCGTTACTTGTGAACTGACTAGTAACTTGAGTTTTCATTTGGGATTCACTCTATTACACCTTTGGGAAAATTCAAGATTGCATGGACACTGGCATGATACATAACTTGTTTATTTAATTCATCAATGTCCAACAAGGGTTGAACCCTTGTCCAACATGGCAACAAGTGTTAAATAAGGCAGAATAGAAACAATCTGACCCCAATAACTCATACACCCAAAAAATCTGAGGACTAAGGAGTGCCAAGGAACACAAAACTGAAGGAAACGAACAACTCAACAAACGTTTAGAAAGAAGCCTTTTCAAGTGGAAATACCTACCAGCTGACGTAGTTAGTTTTCTTGTAAAACCCATCTTTGGTGATTCCGAATGAGACGTTCAGAGCCCCAATTTGTTCTATTTCTTTTGGAGAGAAAAAGGCGCGAACAATGCTGGTCTGTGGCATGTCGATATTTTCTCTCGTTGTTTCGAGTTTATATTCATACACCTTGCAAACAAAAAAGGGGAGAAAGTTTGATTGATGGTCAGCACCTTCAATCATGCCTACTGGTGTGAACCAGCGTGAACCGGCGCGAACCGGCATGAGCCGAAAGAGCCTTTTCACGCTACAGCCTCTCAACCCGGGTTGAACTCAACCATGGGCAAACCCAGTGCTGCCCCGGGTTGAGTTTTTAAATATTTTTCAACCCACGTTCAACCCCGCATCGTTTCACACTTGTTTTGTGCAAACCAAGCTTATCTTGCTCGGTTGCTTTACTGGCGAGAGTTTCAACCTGGGTTGAAAATCTCAACCTTGGTCTGGAGCTGGGTTGAGTTCAACCCGGGATGAAATCAATCTCAGAGTTGACCTGGGTTTGGCGCGTGAATTAAAATGTCAAGTGTGAAACGCCGCGTCAACTCAAGATTTGTCTAGTGTGAAAAGGCCTTATGACTATTATGGATTCATCCAGTGGTTAATACAATGTGGTAATATGTACTGCAAGTGCTAATAGGTTATACACAATAAAAGATGGTTTAAATGTTGAGGGACAATCCGTCTGGAATTCGAAACCTATTGAAAACATCCCACATGATTTGATGTAATACTCCAATTACATTACATATGGTGATTGCCTACACAACCTGTGCTTTCAAAACCTTGCCTCAGTCACCTTGCTTTTTGCTTTTATCTCAAAATCATTTTGGAAAGTTTGGAAAAAAGCCTTTCGAATGTGGGTTTGGAGTCATATGAAATCCTGGGGAGCCATAACTTATAAGGGTCAATCTAAATAAGGGGTCTGTTGTTTTTTCCTGCCCCTGTTGCGTACAATTTGATTAATTCTGGGTCCACTCCTTTATGCCATTTTTCCCTAACAGTGATTATGTCAGAAAACTACCAACCCAACAAAACAAGGGCAGTTTGAACTCGTTTTTTAATGATACTTGAACGGCAAATTAAGCAGTTCATATGTAAGGGGACAGGACAAAATGTCACACTTAGGACCCTGAATAATTAGAATGACCCATAAATGAACTTACATGACGAGCGTTCTCCATGGTCCGGCCTTTCTTAACATATGAAACTGGCTTCCACTGTACATAGCTACCCAAGGGTGAGTCTGGTAGCCTCACATTTAAAGTCTGTAAATAAAAAGTACAGTTTAACAGATACAGATGCAAACCCTGTCCTCCGGATTCAAGCAACCTAGGGGTTGCAAAATAAATCCGGGAAGGGTTGGAGTAAACTGCTTGTACACATCACTTCTAAGGCCAATCACAAAATACTATCAGAGAGTTGTGGGAGGATAACCAAAATCAAATCATATGAAATACAAAACTCTACCGAACTGTTTTGTAAATCAATTCTACAAACTTAATTTTTTATAGTAACAATATTTTATCATTAAAAAAAACTACACAGCTGATCTCAGCCAACCAGACCGTTGAGGTTTTGAAGTAGTCTGCACAAGTAAGCAGGAGGTACCCGAACCTTAGGCCAAAAAAAAAGTCTCCGGTTTCTGGTATGCGCGCGCGTCGCCGTAGCCATGCGCGTCGGCAAAATGTAAAAGTTTTTTTTCAATGAAAGATGATGTCTCAAAACCGCCAAACTCACTGATTTGACTGGAATCCTGGTGCTGCACAATTTCAACGTGTTTTTAGAGGGGGCTATGATCGAGAATAAGCTTTATGTGGCCTCTCTGGATTCCCATATATTTGCACTAAGTTTAGTCGGGCACCATTTGCAGTCATCAGCCGACATTTGAAGCAAAAAAATCAGGTAAAAAGAAACCGGAGACTTTTTTTTTTTTTGGCCTTAAGCAAACTTGATTGTTTTTTTTCACAAGCCCTCAGATAGCAATGAGTGTACAATTCTAATCTTCCGTCATTACATTGGTGAAAAATAAAGTTCAATATTCAAATTTACATTTTCCTGATGCAGAATTATCCCCCCCCCACCGAAAAAAATTGTTCATTGTTGCGTGCCCTGACGTAGTGAGGCCTCTATCGTGGTTCACTCTGATATTTCATAGCCAGTGTCTTGCAAGTGTCTTTACCTCAAATTTCACAATTCATCAAATTTTATCGAGCTCTTAACATTCCCATTCATAAACCATGAGTTTACCCACCTGTTACAAAGAGGGAAATTTGAACCCATTTAAAATGCACCCCCAAAAAGGGGGGGGGGGGGGTAAATTTGTAGTTGATACATGAGTGGAGATAAGAATGGTTTATCAGAAGACAGAAGTTGTCAACTCAAAAAAAAATTCTTGAATGTTCACTTTGGAATTTCTGATATTTGTTCAAGTGCGCCATGTTATGGAACCCTCTGCTGATTTTGCGCCCAATTTCTGGACACCACCATTTTTTGATTTCGGATTCGGACTTAATTTCATGAAACTAAAATTGCGATAAACAGCAAGCAATATTAAGGTAAAGGTATATAGAACTGAATCAATTTAGAACTGAATTTGGAGCATGTCAACAAAAAGGTTTGGCAACACTGCACGAGAAAGTTAGAGGAAATGTTAAAACGCCCAAAGTTAGCGGACTCCTCTATATACGCCTTAGAGAGAAAAAAAACTTTGGAGAGAAAAAAAACAACACCCACCGAAAATGTACCAGGTGTATACTGGTCATCGATAGACGTATCCTCCTTTATATTGACAGTGCCTGACTTGTTGTCTCTTCCAACGACAACCATCTCCAGAGCAAAGCGGGCATTTGTGTAGTTTGTGTATATCATGTTCATCACGTTCTGCATGGTTACATCCAGTTGTGTGCTGTTCTCCGTGTACTGGAGGTGTGGAAGCGTTGTCAGTCGACCGCCTTTGCCAAATCCCGTCAACTGACGAAAAGAAACGACGAAAAAAATGGAGTAAATAATAAGAAACAGTGACAAGGTAGTGGGCGCTGCTAAAAACAGACAATCTCTGACACTATCAGACAATAGGCGATGCTCTTCGTCATGGCATATTTGCCGCCACACATGCCATTTTGCAGACAGGATGGTACTACTGAGAAATCTAATTAAAGTGCTGGTGTGACCTCCCCTGCCCCCAATCTCCCCTCTAGTGATGCCTGTAGGCTCTACGTTTGATGACTGAAATATTTTTATTCTGGACGAGACCTTGTTCTGTATTTTGATTTGGTGGTTCATTTGTTGACCGAGAAAAGTTAGGGGGGGGGGGGGGGGGGTGTCACACGCCCGATACTATTTACTATGCTCCTGTGCACAATGAATACAAATATAGTACATGTGCACTGAAGAAATACAAACAAAACAAAATAAGAAAGAAAAACACTTTTGTGTGATTACATTTTCACTGATTACGGAGTTATAATTGGCCGGACAAAAAATGAACCTTTTCCTTTTTTTCAGGCCAAAACATATCTTGAATTTTACTTTGGATTGTTTTCCTTTTTGGGGGGGGGGGGGGGTGGAGAAGTCCCAATTGGTTTAAGGGCTACGTCCGCAAGTCTTTTTGAGATAGGGAGAATGCAACAGGAGGACCCTATTTCTTTTGGTAAACTTTTCTGTATTTTCCCAAATATACCCAAACCAAAACTAGTACAAGTAGCTTATCCAATCAGCCTACATGCATGCAGGATGACTCACTTTCATGGATATGGTTCCATTATCTCCCAATTTTCCAAGAAGCACAGCGCTACAGTCTGTAGAATTGATGGTGCCTTTCTGCCATGTCAGTGATTCCAGCTCAGTCATCATTCGTGCATCTTTAGATTGTATCGTGCCGTCATCACTTGTGTCGTTGTATTCTATAAGCTATGAATAAACAAGGAGAGACAGTACACGATATCAGGTGTTCACCAACACTTTGTCTGTTTGTCAAATGTAGATCATGGTCCTTTTCTCAGAGCTCAACTCACCGAATCCAACTTCATTTACTTTAAAACACAAGAAAGTCAAAAAGCCAAAATAAGATTTTATACCTCATTTTAAACGGAAAGTATTTACTATAAAAACTACTTGAATATCACAAAAGAAAAAAAACAGATCAGGGGTTCATGATTATTTTGGACCAAGTATTACAAAGTTCTCGAATCCTAGGGGCAACCACACTTCCACGCCGAAATGAAGACATATTTTTGTCTGTAAAATCAAAAGGGGGGGGGGGGGGGGAGGGTGTCTTCAAAACTGACCATTATTATGCATACTGGAAAATGTATGCCGATTTTTACGGTCCATTGTAATGGTTTCGGATCTTCGTTTCCTTTTTTTTCATGTCAGAACTCTCTAACCATTTATAGAAAAAGTTACTGACAAAATGTTTATTTCAAAAATCCGTCGGGGGGGGGGGGGGGGGGGCATTTTCAATAAATCCAGCCTGATGAGCCATATCGGCTCAGAACGCTATTTACATACTGTACAATAAAATCATAGTCTGTAATGTTTCAGAACCTGGCAGGACCTTTCTCAAAAACTTTTGAGTGAGGTTTTTTTTTATTTGTATATTTCAGGTCAAGCCAGTCAGTAAGCAGTCATATTATTTCATACTTTGAAATAACAAGATTCTCTCAGTTTCAAGATATTGGACGCCTCACCTTGGTAAACATCAAAGCCGAGGAATAAAGCACTGACTCTGGTGGCTGGAATGAGAGGGAACCAGTCTTGGTGCCATCGAGCAAATCCTTCCAGTTAACGGTGAGATTAGCACCGAGGGTCGTTCTTGCTAGGATGACCGCCGGGGCACCGATAGAACTCCACAGGTAATGGATTGTATCGTTTTCGCCGGTCCCTTTGATGTGCACCAGGTTGGGTTGGCCATCATGAGTCTGGTTGCATTTTGGGATGTCACATTTCTTGTTGATGATTTCCAACTGGCAAAGCAAGTTAGTACAAATAGCAAGTTAGTAGAAAATGGCAAGTACAAACAGCAGGTGTGGTACATGTATAAGGATGTGATTTTGCGTTTAATTTTGTAAACGTTCAGCAAATATTTAAAATATTGTTTAAACGTTTAGCCATTTCAGAAAGGTTGACGACTGCCCATTATGTCTGTAGACCCACATGATTGACATGATATATCAACAATGATTGACATAATAAATAGCGGGCTTTTATAAAAAAATTTTTAGAAATAAATCGTGTGTACCCTGAATGTCATCAAGTACTGCTGTGCATGTATGGGTGCACTTTTGACCAAAACTGAATGACAGGTAACAGCCGTACCAATGTAAAAATTAAGAATCAGCACGAAATCTGAACTTATGATTTTTGCGCAATCTTAACAAACATTGCACAGCATAATTAGGCCAAAAAAAATAAAAAATACTTCTGCTTCCGGTTACCCGACCGACCCTACTTTTAGGCGGCGACCCTAAAAATGTTATCGGCAATTCCAAAAAATAAATAAAAAATAATGATTGAATAAATAAAAGTAAAAGTTTGTTGTCTTTTCTGTCTTCACAAAATACCTCTCAACAACCCATTTGCGTAAAAATATGATTGTATTTATTTGTTTTCTTACTTACATTTGCTATTTTTTTCAAAAGAAACCAAATTCGCTTCACAATCTGTCATCATACCTCGCAATTCGATGTCTCTTATTTTGTCCCGGTCCCCTGAATACGTGCATACTTTCATATCCACACTACTTTTCATCGTTAAATCTTTTCCTAGGTAAGTGACCTTGCGTTGCAAGAGTATAATTAGGCTATTATTTTAAGAATCAGTGAATGAGGATGCAGCTAGACTTGCCAAGCGCATCCGGTGCTCGGCATCAACAAGACCGTTAATCTTGTCGCGCATTCTTAAGAATGTGCGCTCAATCTGAAAGACTTTTTTCCAGAAGATTGCGCATGGATCCAGTTGCGCAATCATAATAATGCACATGCGCATTCTTATGATTGCGCAAATCACATGAAACTTGAAAGCGCACAACATTACCAAAAAAACAATTTTGGGCCTACATGTAGGCCTACCTCTCTGTCTGCAACAAAACCTTTCACCAGCAATGTCAAAATTGTGCAGAAAACGATAGGAACGTCCATTCCGACTCGGAAGGCCATTGCTTCAGACTCGGCTTAAAATCAAATATCGAGGGCCACTGCACTATTTTCAGAACTCCGAGTCGGCCAACCTGCAGGTAGTCTGATTCGTTCACAGGAGGCTAGAAACCACAAGTACAACTTCAGAAACCAGACCCAATCAGTCACGTGTTTAGTCACAACGCTCAAGGTAGCCGCGGATTTGTATTCAGCTGCGGATTCAACCGCGCAAATTTCACAAAAATTTTAAACATTGTATAATACATGCGGCAAAAGGTGACATATTTTCAAAAAGGTGACATATTTGCAAGAAAGACTACTCCATCTATTCAACGAATTTCGCATAATAACCCACAAATAACAATATTTTATGAAATCAAATTGTGAATTGTTGACAACATGTGCGGAACACTTTGATTTAAAGGGGAGTGAAATATGCAGTTGATAGAACGCATTCTAATAACTGTAATTGTGCAATAGGGTCACTTCAACGGGATAATTAGACACCAATCAGTGACGTAGCTAGGATTTTATTAGGGGCAGGGGAACAGGGGGGCATCAGAATTTCATGAGTTAACCAGAATATCATGGGGGCACATATCGCAAATGTCTTATTGCAGTCCATGCAAGTTGGGCCCCATAATGCCTCTCTATATCCATTGACATAAGAAATTGCAAACAGTAAGCCTTTGGCTAACTGAAAAAATACAACTTACAAAAACCCTTTTTGGTTAGGGAAAGAAAAGTGGCATTATCAGGCACGGACAATTTTTTTTTTTGGGGGGGGGCACGTTCCGCCCCCAGGCCCCTGCTACGCCACTGCATCACTAATTAGTGTTCGGCTGGAGCCAATACCAAAATAAGTGTGCCTAGTAACATGATCTCATAGATTAGATTATGTAATAAAACTGGCAATTTTTGACAACATGTGCGGTACACTTTGTGTTAAACAGCCAGTAATATACCCAGCCGAATAGAACCAATTCTCACTGTGCAGGGAAAATAGGGTCACTTTAACGGGCTAATTAGGCACTAAATATTCGGTTGCAGCCAATACCCAAATTAAGTGTGCCCAGCAGCATGATCTCGAAGATTATGAAATAAAATTGTGAGTTTTTAATATTACGTGTGGTTTCAAATGATGCAACGTCTCTAAAACCGTTGAAAAATAACGCGAAATGTCATGATTCCCATTATGCAGCTAGTTTAATAGTAATTATTGCATCAAAAAATTCTAAAATAGTGAATAAAATGGTTGCTTATGTCGGCTTATTTTTATATGGCGTGAAAACTTTTGTTATTTGTGGTAAATTATGCAAGATTCGTTGAAGAAATGAAGTTATCTTTCTTGAAAATATGTCACCTCTTGCCGCATGTATTATACATTTTTTAAATTTTGGTGAAAGTGCGCGGCTGAATCCGCAGCCAGATATCCGGCCAAATCCGCGGCTACCTTGAGTTGTTTAGTCGACAGGTCAGGTGACATCGAAGTCAGGTTTGACAGGGATCGCTCTTTGCATGCTCTTTGTGTTCGTATCGCGCCGAGAGTCCGAGACTACTAAATTTTAGACAAAATGTTGTCATAAACTAATCGAATAAAAGCTTTTAAAAGTTTGTCGTCGTGCCATTCCCATTTTTTTTCTTTTAAAAGTAATAACAATATTCTTAAAAGAATAATCCATTTTTGAGCAATCACTTCATTGAGTTAGTGTAAACATTTCTCTCTTGAGGGCGTCCTTCTACAAATTCCAGACGGAAGATCCGATCCGATCAAAAGACAGCGCAGCAAATTTGGCGATTTTCTTTACATCGAAAGGGATAACTAACGGTAAAAAAAATGTCGAAAGACGCTACTAAAGGATTTGTGGATGCAGCCATTGCTGACAACAAGGTAGGCCTAAATTTATGTTGTCATTTGCTTTATATGCAGCGGCCTGTAAACATTTGAACGTCGTCCATGGTCACTTGTGCTTGTTTGTACAAATTAACTGAAAGATCGAGTAGGGGCCTAGCCTTCCATGCCATCATGATACATTATGTTCGTTTTAAGCAACAAAATTGCTTAAAATCTAAAGAAAGGTGCTTAACAACTAACCTGAAGAAGTTTTAGCTCAGTGAATGATGTATATTCTGAGAATTCTAGGATATCTATTTCAAATCAAAAGTTGCTGAGTCATGTTTTGAGTTGCGCCTGAATTCAGCATCAGGGTCACAGGGACACGTTCTCATTCAGCTGATTGCAGCTACGCGATGTCATCCACTTAGCCGGCAAATTAACTGGTGTTAACTGGTTCTTTTTCTTCTATATCGCTAGGTTGTCGTCTTTTCCAAAACGTACTGTCCCTACTGTAAGAAGGCCAAGTCTGCACTGAATGATGTCGGCTTGAAGGGGTACAAGATCATCGAAATAGAAAATATGGACAACATGGACGCAATCCAAGATTACATGCTGCAACTGACCAAGGGAAGGAGTGTAAGTTGAATAGACACTATATGCATGAGTAGACGCTGCGCATGTTCATTTGTACTGCATATATAATGTGGCATGTCCCCAGTGAGGGCGCTCTGTGCAAGCTCTGTATATGGTAAAGCCTGCAAAGAACAGGTGAAGTCATCGGCCTTGAAGGTTAAGCTAGAGTTACAAGGCGGCAGTGTTGTAGATTGCTTGGATAGGCAGGAGTAAATCTTGTTTGCATTACTAAATAAAACATGACAAGGAATACTCTCTCAGATTCCCACAGTGAATAAAGGCCGGTTCCTACCTCATGTGAGAGTGAAGCAAATTTCATGATGTCGACAATTGAAGTTTCATGATGACAGTCATCGCCACCCTAACAAATTTGCTTCACACTGAAATTCCAGTGAAGTATAAAATGGCCTTAAAGGGAATATACAACATTTGCAAACATCGAAAAATAAAACTACCAAGTTGTTGCGAAATACCTTAATAGGATGTTGGTAAATGACAGTCTAAAACATCCTGTAAAATTATGGCACCTGGTATACTGTCATTTTCAAGAAAAGTGGTATTTTTGTATCAATTTCCAACGCTGATCGGCCGATCAGCGTTGGAAACAACTGGCTTTTTTTTTCAAATACTGGCCCCAATTGACCATTGCACTTCTTTGCAATCGATTACAAACCTATGAACGGGTACGAGCCAGCTAGACTGGTTCCCTGACCTTACAATTCCCCAATGTATGTAAACTGCTCTGTTTCTTCTTATATGGAGTCAGGGAACCAGACTACAGGAAAATGATCGTTTTTCTTGGTTTTTATAGCATTTTCGAACCCAAAACCTCCAAAAAGTCAGTGTAACTATATTTGCTTTATATTTCCAACCCCCCAATTCCATCCATTTCTGAAATTTACAGCAAAAGCATATGATGTATATTCCCTTTAAGGTCTATTGATAAGGTAGATGAGATGGAGAATCAACCTAATCGCTGGTGGGGGTTATTGATTGTCCAGGGGAAGGGAGAAGGGAGGGGATGTCTCTTCTTGAACTTTGCCAACAATTGTCTAATTTGTTTTCCTAGGTGCCACGTGTCTTCATCGGAGGAAAGTTCGTAGGCGGAGGGGATGAAGTTGCCCAACTGAAGTCTCAGGGCAAACTGAAACCAATGCTTCAAGAAGTTGGAGCGCTCTAAGCTGCCTTTGTGCCTCCCTGAAAACACCAAGAAAAACGACCCAGCAGTAGAATAGAGCACTATTTTTATTACATTTTCAAATTTCTTGACCTTTTTCAGGAGTTGCTCAAAACCTGGATCATTAATAATCACTCAAATGTTCATTGTTACATGCAAATGCAGATGCGGCAGTGTTGTAGTCAAAGTACTTTGGATGGATCATAAGTCCATCACAAGTCACCTCACAAGCTATTCAAATGAACTGTGACTAGGCCATTCCTTGGTTATTGTTCATCCACTGTTACTTGTGACTGGACTCGTGAAGTGACTTGTGATTTTCTTGTGAATGCACTTGTGTTGTTCTTGTGATCCTTCACAAGTACCTCGACTGCAACAAACAATAGGAATTTGATACATGTATTACAAAACATCTGTGGCAAAAGCCACTGGAGTAGGAAGTAACAGTGTGAACACTTGCTGTGAAGCCACAAACGTATTTTCGAGGTTGTATTCACGATGCTAATTCTAAACCAGTCTTAATCCTGTACAAGAGACGTGTCACAGTCAAGCGTTCTCATATGGCAAAACCTGGTGTTGTCAGGCTGTTTCTAGTTGACTGCTGTTGTGGTTCCTGATTTTAATAAGGCAACGTTCCTATCAGAACATTCCTACTAGCAAGTATTCCAGGTTTTGAGAAGCTCCTGAGGCATTGCATTCAGTGCTTTCTTTTGATTAATTATGTGTGAAACTTTTCCAGTCTACTTCAGACTTTCCTCAGAATGACAAAACTGTACTCAATTTTCCTCTCAGCAATGTGCACATTTTTCCATCAGAGATACTTTTTATGTGAGTTTTCATTTGTGTTTTGCACTGCACAGCTTTTCCAAAGTTGTTTTTTACCAGTTTGTGTGCAAAGTGGTTTTGTTCAAAGTGATAATGTTATGTGAAGTTTTGCTGTTTTTATATAAGTTTATATAGATTATAACCATCATTTCTGTTTACCACGGCATGCGCTATAGAACTAATGAATGGGAACCCTGCTCTTTAAAAAGAACCATATTTTCTGGACCAAAATGAACATCAAAATCCATTGCTTATCACAATGTACATTTTAAAGTACATTTTCCTGGTGAGCACTGGTATAATTTTTACTTTTTGTCATTCATTTTAAAGTACGTATTTAAAATGTTGTGCAATTCAAAATAGACTATTCTGCTGAACTTGAGTGCTTGGGATGTACACAATACTGGCATTTATTGAAATCAAATACATGTATTAATGACTTTGATTGTTCAAAAAGTGTTAAGATTGTTATAGGAAGCGGGTCAGTTTTAGAAGAGAAATACAAATGTAAGTCTTTATTAAGATAAACATCGAATGGTGAAAGTGATTCTGTGAAACAAGCCTCAATCTGATATTTATATCATGCGTGCAGAAAAAAATTAGTATTTTGTTACTGAATTTTCATGTTGATATTCATCATACTCCGAAAGAATATTTTACCACCAAATAAAGATTTATCCTGTAACTTAATAAACCATTGATATTGTTAATTTCATTCTGCATGTGTGGTTCTGTATTTATAATCTTTATTTGGTCTTACCTGAATATGACTATTAATAATAATAATAATAATGTGCATTTCTAAATTGCACTATCCACCAATTATTACAATCCCTATAGCAGCACTGAGACATGATTCTCAATAACATTCACAAATCAGCAGCAAAACCCCATTCGTTACATACAAATGTTTTTCTTTATTTCTCAAACTCATTCGGAGCTTCTTTTTTAAATCTTTACAGAACAATTCACAAGTTTTTTTTTTCACAATCTGTGATGAAATATTTACATATTTGTCAACGGTTCCTCTCCTTCCAGTAACGTCTTATTTACGGGAAAAGAACCAAAGTTTTACGTTCACTCCAGTCCGTGTTAAAAGTCGGTGCACCAAGCTTCTTGGTATCGCAAGGCAGAATACGGAGAAATAGTCCTCAGTAGCTACCAAAGACTAAGGTAAATTTTACTCAGAAAACAAACTCAAAAACTGTTGCCAGCTTTAGGCTTGTTGCATGACAAGTAGGGTAAAAAACAAATAAGGTGTGGGCGGGATTTCGTCAGCCGATGAAAACACCTATTCATTTGCACACCCCGTTTCATCGGGTGCGATGAGTTACCATTCAAGACTGCAGACTCCAGACCCACAGAGTGCGTTCGAGCATGCTACTCGCGTTTACACGAGTATACTCCTGAGCGCACGAACGACAAGCGCACGAATGACAAGAGAACGACCCGCGGGTTAGCAAGAGTATGCTCTCCATCATACCGGGAGTATACTCCTGCACCGAGAGTAATGCGCACGCAACATTTTTCTGCACTCGGGAGTAGCAAGAGTAACACGCTCAAACGCACCCATAGAGTTTTAAGGAAATAGGTCTGGGAACTAGACAAGGCAATGTACGAAGCTCTCTGGTGTCCATGCCCATTTACCTATTTCTGAAACATGTTTCTACGTGTATAACCAAATGCTGTATGACATGTAAATACTTGTAAAAACAAACAAAAAACTCAAAAACACATTGCAGTAAACAAAATACAATAACAAATACTAACCGCAAACAAATGAAATCGAACAGAACAATGCAAACCAACAGATGAAAACACACCTTGTGTTCTGGACTAGTGCAATAAAAAATCTCAGAAATGTTTTGGTGATTTGTTATTTCATTTGGATTTCCTTGTTAAGAGGAAATAAAAAATCTGGTTGTTTCAAAACAAAAGTGTTTATGACAGGAACCCCTGAATGACATAAAAATGGTTACAGATGAAATTGAACTTAACCATTCTACTGTGTCTTTGTAATTTTATTTGGACAAAATGTTGCAACCTGAAGCCACTTTTTTTCCTTCATATATCATCTCAATGAAGGTCAGGCATTGCAAAAATGACGATAAGACATGAATCTGGGACTGAGAAACATTTCCAATTTTGTTAGGAAATACTTAAAAAATTGTCTTGACTCTCCATAGACTTTCTACACAACCGCTGAAGTGACGTCAGGTTGCAACATTTTTTTCCATTTATTTCCCATGCAGTTGTGTATAATCAAATGAAATAACGACTTTAACTCAACTGCTGAAAATTATGCATAAATCAATTATCTGTGTACGGCATCCAACTTACGCCGCCCGTTTTAAAAGTGTTGGTACATGCTCAACCGTTTCCCGAAATTGTTACTCAAATGTTCAAGTCTGTGAAATCCTCATTATGTATACTCGAGCAACTGAAGAGCGCTGCTATTACAATGGTATTCTGTGTATCATTATATGTACCAAGGCCATACTCCAAGAGCACCAGTTATTTTTCAATAGGAGGAAAGTCGAACATTTTTGTGTTGTGCATTTTCGAATCATTTAGTCAATCATTTTGTGTCGATGTATTTATTCAAGGTAGCTTACTAGTGGATATTAGACAGATTTTGGGTGATATTCCTCATAATGGCAGGTAATTAACAGCCGTTCACATTTTACAAAGAAGAAAACCACTTATAAGAAGAAAGTTACATCCAAGATGTTTTTCGTCATCATCTAGAGAGTGCTCACTTTGTTTCCCATGTTCTGTTTAAAGATGGTATTCACTGGATTGTCGAATATTTGGATATGCGGTATATTTAGCACAGGGCTAAGTAAAACTTATATGTGAATGAAATTAAGCCTGACATGATTGTGACTGAGAAAAACATATAGGCCTGACATAATTATGGAACTTTTTTTACAGGAAGGACGACCGCAGGAAAAAAAACGAAAAGCACCCCCAAGAATCTGGGCACGAAAGCAATGTGTTACCTATTGTTCAAATAATCCCTCACTTGGCACTCGTGAGTGTACAGACACGTGCTCAGAGTTGTCTATACATTTTGAGCACAGTAATGTCTAGGAACATGACTTTTGTGAGATTTATGTCCAAACCTAAAAAAAACTTGAATCAGTCCTGGAGCAAACGATCAGGTTTAGACAACTGAAAAACACAAACGGAACAATGAACAGTACTCTGGCTTGCAACGACCCTCTTTGGGAAAAACTATGTTTGTAACACATGACATGAATGTTTGCCAACCAAATACCAAATTCTTTTTTGCTTTTATCTTATAAATTACCGTTGGAAACCCAATGCCATGTTGCAATCCGGGATTTTTACACATTGCTAAAGAACACAATGAGAAGTAGCACATGTGTTGGTTGTGATCTCTGTTTCTTGTGGTTGTGGTTCAGGCTTAGAAATGTCGGGGTGTTGGTTTACAGAAAAGGACAAAATATAGAGGTAATGGTAGTGTCAATGTGTGCCATAATCGGTAAAGTGTACGTCTTCTACAATACGAAGGGAGTCTCATTCATAGATGCATCAGGTTATGTGCACGCCCAACAGGAAAATCTATCAAAATTTACCTTATAAAAATGAGTTCCTGCCAGAAATTTCCCGAAAGACAAAAATTACAACTCTTAATTAGTCTAGCTAGTGTCCACAACAAAAAGTGTAAGAGAGGGTCACCTCTCCAGTTCCCATAATGCACCGCACACGAAGAGGAAAAAAAATATATATAATATACATATATGTCATGATAACTATACAGTAAAGTTGGCAGTACAAAACTTTTTAATAGTAAGTCTTTTACAGTGAACGTAGCCACGTTAATTTTTGTAACATGTACATCAGAGCTTATAGTTGCCATGGAAAAACAAACAAAAAAAACAAAAGGCAATTCTCTTCAGGGTGTTCAGGTTAGTCTTTTCTCAAGACTTTCCTGATTAATTAGCCCCAAGACTCTGAGTGCTGTACAGAGAAGTCCCAGATGACTGTTATATGGCTGTGCTACTTGCACAGCTAGAAAACGCCTTTCAAACATTTACACATACAACAGCAGTAAAGAAGTGTCATACATAATGTAGGGAGAGAGAAGACAATAAGATACCTGATCTTGCAGTACGACAGTTAAATTTTTTTGTATTGGGAAAAATTAAAAATTGAAAGAAAAAAAAAGTCAAGGGACACATTTCTAGCATATTTTCTGTTTAAATATTAGGCCAAAACCAAGCATATGTTTTACTATAATCTTTGTGGTTTCTTTAGATCAGAAACATTTTTACCCCAAATTATTTATTGGTTTTTTTAATTTAAATTCCTTTAAATCATGCTGGTAGTACTTTGCAAATTTCTGTTGCAATTACAAGTCTAGTTCCCTGTATTCCTCTCTTCCTCTCAGTCCACGTTGCACAGCATTTCAACTTGAAATTCAATGTCTCATCTCAATTGAAGAAATTATTGAGTCATTTAACGGCGAGTCATTTCACAGCAAATCATCCACAACAAAAAAGGGCTCGTAAGAAAAAGACGAAAAAAAAAGTTGCCCCCTGAACGACATCACCAAAACTTTGAAGGCACCATACTTCAGTCCGTCCATATGCAGATGCTCTCAAAAACTGACCAATCACAAGGGCTATGGGAAACAAAAAAATGTTACAATCCCACAAAATCTGGCCGAGTCCAAAACAGGTTCTTAACAGCTAGGGCTACATCTTTTGTCAGCATGTTCCCATGCAGTTGTAACGGGCAAAGTTCTAGACAATGGCTCGAGATGAAAGATTCGGACCCGGCCTAACTCTTGACTGAGTGGATTAGACTGGCATATATATCTGTCCTTTTCAGATTTCTCTGAGCTGGGAGAGTCCTGGGCACTAGTAGATGACCTCATAAACGGTGGCTTTCTTGTCCCCTGACCCGGTCACGATGAACTTGTCATCTGCCGATATGTCACAGCTTAAGACGGACGAGGACTCTTTGGACTGGAAAAAAAAATAAGGAAGAAGATAAAAAACCATGAGACATGAAAACACGGCAACAGGTTAAGCCAGCTGCAGTTGGGGGTAAGTGCAGCACTGGCCTCTAATATCAGAAACAAGGCTGGGTTTATCCAGTCAGCTGGACCTGGAAGTCTCAGTTGAAGTGACTTTGTCAGTAAGTTATTCAGTCAAAGACTCAGTCAGTCACAGGAAAGTAGTCTGGCCATTCAGGTTGCAATTAAGTCAATGACAAGTTAGAAGTCTGGTCACAAGTAACAGCATTTGCACAAGGATTCTGTGATTTTATCGATTCATCCTGTGTAACACATTATGAAGCCAAATATGTCAACATTTCTTTGTCTATCAAAAACATATCTCTTGATACCATCCGTTTACATTGGTTGGTCAGCCATGATTTGAGTAATATGGTAACTGACCAGTGGAGTAGGTTAATAATAACAAAGGCTTAAATTAAACAACAAAACTGCTTGGACAAAACTTGACTAAAAGCAATCAGTTTTGAGCAGCCGGGTGCACTTAAAACACTCTTGCAGTACAAAAGATGACTGAGCACATCTGGTTTTTGTTCTGACGAATTTTGTCAACTGTCAGTACAAATCTGATTTTAAACCATAAATTCACCCTCTGAACTGTCATGACTGAACATGAACAATGATCCTGGCTATCATCATGTGGGGGCCGTACCTGAAAGATGCTGGCTCCATAAGGCGTCCGCCAGGCGTTGAGGAGGTTGTCTTTACCCGTCGATACGAACCACTTGCCGCAGTGGGCAAACTTGAGCGACAGCACGCAGCTCTCGTGCAGGTGCAGCTGGTACTTGTCTGGCTTGCTGTTGTGCAGAACCTCCACGTTGCTGCTCTCCATACTGTCAAAAAAGGATGGATGAAAACACCCAGATTCCATGTCAGTTGGAACTAATTGTGTTTGTTTTTTGTTAGGGATCCAAATCGGATCCTTGGAACATGTTCTGTGCTATAAAAACAAAAACACAATGCGCCCGAACTGGTTCTTAAGTCACACGACTAGCCAAACGTAAATATGGAGCCGGTTAAATTTGTATGTCATTTCATAAGTTGCCATTTTGAATCTCACACTGATCCGCCCCTCAGGAAGGATCCCTGAACTCTGCGATCCAGATCAGGAGCCGAGCAGAACAAATGAATGGATCCTGGATCCGAATTAGGATTTGTGCAAAACAAACAGGCCGTAAGAGATTATTTTAGTTGTTTACTCCTCTATGGTACTTCAACTGGTAGCTAAAAACGAGAAATTTTAAGAAGCCCGATACGTACATGGAGTGGTTCTGGACTGAAGATTTTACAGGGGCTGTAAACTGATCGCAAGAATTTTTAAGAGTATTACAACTTACAAAACAACATATTTCAAAAATCCGAAACTTTACAATGCCAACAATTGTGAAATTGCGATAAAGTAATAACAAATTTGTGAGCAACAACATTTACTAAAATCCAGGGGAAAACTTGAGGGCCAAAAGAACTGCACCCACAACCTTTTTTTCCCCAATTTGTTCATTATCTCCAAGTGTGCCATATTAAAATGATATACAGCATGAAGTGTCAAACATGGGCCGTACAAAAAGTCAGCAAGAAGGGTTACAGGAAGTCCGCATAAACTGATTGAGTAAGACCTCCACAACATTACCTAACCCCTGGTATTTCAAGTCTGATCCTGAACTTGGCTTGTAGTCAGTATATTTAAGCAGGGGTTATCCCAGCATCTGTTTAACCCAGCCGCTTAATTCCAAGCGACGCTGGGATTTAAGCTCAGGCTCGATCTCCGGCAGGAAGCCGGCAATTAGCAGGCGACGGCTGGTCTACTGACCCACAACCGCTCGGGCAGGAACTACCCCACTTATGGCCGCCGCCGTTGGGTGAAGGAAGGGGAGGGATTAATGCGCAGGGGCGGCATGAGGCTGAGTGAGGCTCTAATCGACCAGACTTGTTAACAACAGTGTTTGAACCGTCACTCATCGCTCCGACAACTTTGGCATAATCAGTTCGGCTATGCATGTGCATTCGCTATTAATACATGAGACGTGCTAGACGTGCCCGTAGGCCAGAAACAACTGACTAGAGATATTCCTATGCACATCCAAGTAAAACGGTCAACAATAAAGACCCACCCCCCCCCCTCTCTCCCGAATTCTTAATGAAACCCATGCCATCCTCCGGGGCTTGATATTTTCTTTTAGGTCATCCATCAAACCAAATGAGGATTACTTTGTGTTTATAAAACACTGCAAACTGGGAGTGTGGATATTGTACTATGGATTAGGGGGCCTGAGGTTTTGTGGTTATTACTCATTGGCCTATGAACGGATGCATCTGTTCATACTAGTTTTTGATCGGTTTCAAAGATAGCTCTGCGGTTACACCAATTGAGCCCTACATCATCTGTGTCCCAAACCACTGAGGTTAACTTTACAAAATGAAAACACCCAATACAAATTTGATACAATACTGTGATTGTGATTGAGCATTTCAGCAGGGTTGAGATTGAGGGAAAATGAGAAAATCCAGGAAATAATCGGCAGAGGGTTTGAGGGTCGTCAAGGGCTCCAGAGTAATGTAGGGTCTCATCATCATGTCGGTTTTAAGGCCGTTGTCCAGTCTGTTCTGGGTTGGCCTGCTTTCTCCCTATGGCTCTCCTCCACTTGGCCCTGTCCGTCGCATCCCTCGCATTGACTCCAAGCAGTCGCATGTCATCTGACACGGAGCTCTGCCAAGTCTTGCGCGGTCGGCCGACGGGTGTGGGCCCTTAAAATACCCCTTTGCTTTGCTCTATATAAACTTTTATAAGTAAACACAACTTTACTGTTAAACCTTATGAGTTCCAGGTATTCTTTGGAAGGGATTCTTTCCGAGTGTAATTCTTATCCAGTTAGTAGGATATGCCAATACTGCCACACTCAGTAGAGTAGAGGATGTAAACCCCAATCAGTATAAGATTCCAAATGGAGTGATTTGAAGGGTGCTCAATAAGCCAGTTCAGTATCTCGATATGAAGTGGTCCTGATCAAAGGTCATTCAAGTTAAAATCGCTGAGGTGATGTTACACGATGTTATGCGAATGCCAATTCTGCTCGTAATCAATGCGCGAGCGTCGTGCGATTGTCTCCTTGCGCGTTCATGCGCCTTTGATGAGCGTTTGACTATCCCAAATGACCTGTGACCCATATCATTGTGCGCATGCTCAGTTGAAATACCATACTGACTTTTGCTTAGCCCGGCATTCTTGGGAGCGTGCGGCTGCTCACCCATGTCGTAAAATCCATGCAGTTAATTAGGGGGCATAAATATGTAAAAGGAAGTAAAGCAGGGATTAACCCTAACCCACCTCACTCCTCCAAAATCCTCCTGGCGGTTTTGGAGGATTCTAGAGGATTGAGGATGAATGGTGATTGAATCAAATGAGGATTCTGGAGGATTGAGGATGAATGGTGATTGAAGCACATGAGGATTTTGGAGGATTGAGGATGAATGGTGAATGAAGCACAAGAGGATTTTGGAGGATTGAGGATGAATGCATTTTGAGGCAGGACTGTCTGATGATTTTGAAGGATTTGGCGTTGGTTATCCTTCATTTAAACACGAGTGCAAAGTTTTGGGATGAGGAGGATTTGGGAGGATTGAGGATGAATGCATTTTGAGGCAGGACTGTCTGACAATTTTGAAAAATTTAGGTGGAGTTGCAAAATTTTGGAAAATTTTGGAGGATTTTGGAGGATTGAGGATGGTTGTAAGCAACAAAGGCCTAGGGGGTTAGGGTTAAGAGGTGAAATGTGACAACTTACCCGACGGCTAACCAGTCCCCGGCAGGGCAGTAACCCAGAGAGAAGATCTGTGATGTGAAATCATGCTGCTGTAACTGCCGACCCTGTGAAAATAAATAAATAAACAAAATAAATAGATAAAATAAATAAACACATGAAACCTCATATCAAACATTTTCTTCAGGGCATGCTTTGTACTATCTAATAGACTCTGAGTAGACTCTGTCATAATTGCGGAATTTGAGTAACAAAATCTGCTCTCGGTGATAGCAAGGGATCAATTTACATAAAGGTAGCCAAACTATAGGCAAATTGACAAAGTTTTTTTTTTCAAGACTACATAAATTCCTTGCCATGAAACTTGAAAATTTATAATCATGGGTCAATAACTTTCAAGCGATGTTCTAAATTTTCAAGGTCAAAAATCAAAGTGAAATTGCATGAATAGAGGAAAGCCAATTGTTTCCATTAATGGTCACATGTATTCAACCTGGTTCACACAAGTCCAAACCAGAGGGTAAATGACCCAAACCAGTTCCAACTGGTTCCAACTGGTCCCAACCAGTCTGACCACTGCCACAAGCAATTACACAGGTATGTACTTCTACCAATGAGATATGAGAAGCGCAAGGCTGGCCTTATATGCTGTCAGGTCTCCGGTCTAGGATTAACCCAGCTGTATCTCACCTCTCTCAGATCCCATGAGCGTATTGTGTTGTCCAGGCCGCCAGTCCACAGTTTGGTGCCGTCAGGTGAGATATCTATACAGCTTGCACCATCCGTGTGCCCTTGGAATTGTCTGGATAATAGAAAGGTTAAAAGGGTTAACACTAATTTAGAAAAATATATAGAAAATATAGATATAGAAAAATCCGGCGGCAGCCATTTTCTGCGCTGGCACCAGGCTTGCGCGAGTCGCACTCAGCTAGTTCACACGCACTCCGGGCTCCTTCGACCAATAGGAATACCAAACTGCGCGTGCGCCTCGTCTTTAAGAACGCGTGCAGCATGCGGGTGAGTGTGACACCACTGCAGTAAAAGCTTCTAATTCTGGTCGCCAGATTCCACTATAGATTTCATTTCTTATCACACGATGAAGGCCAAATGTGTGTGTCATTATTAAAACAACATCCAGTTTTAAACTACAAAAAAAGTTTCTAAAAAATCCTCAATTAAACCCCTCCCTCTCTGGCTGGCAAACTCAACGAAGTCAACCCAGCAGTCAAAATAAATAAAGCGACTGTTTTAAATAGTTGAGTGCTCCTTGCCTTCATAAAGCAGAATTGACTGGCTGTGATCATTATGAAACTTGATACAGGAATATTTTGACTGTAGGAGATTGATAAGCCAGCTGTGACTACCAGTTACTTGCTTTTGTCTGTTGATGGAATTTGACTGCCACAGTGCCTACAAGAAATATGATCTGATTGTTGGTGTCTAGCCTGTGTAAAAGGCATGGCAGGGGAAGTGGATTGACATTTTGACTGTGACTGATCAAACAAAAGGAGGTTCCAACATGGAATGTTAAATAATAAAGAAGTAAATTTAACACTGAATGGGAGGTTTGTGGTAACACCATGTGAATGAAATCTCTCAGTGAGTTGTGTGGTTCTGGAAAACCAGTTTAATAACGTATGCATTAAAAGATTAGATACAATACATGGACAACAGGAAGAATGTTCGGTGCCATCAAGTATTCCTGCCACATTGACTTCCCTTGATGGAGACGCAAGATGTCTGATTGTGAGCATGCGCATTCCTAAAATGTTTGCCTTACTTTTGAACTAAATTGAGTTTGGCATGGCAATGGCGCGGCGTTGTCATGCCATTGCCATTAGCACAGCAGACCCTGTTGAGTCAAAGGATGCATGCAGTGCAGAACTCAGTTTGCCAAGCAAAATCGTTCGAAATGCTGTACTTCTGCAGCAGCGCCGAGTTACGAAATTTCTTCTCATTGTCTCCTCTCTAAAGGTTTCTTCATGCAGGCTTGCGAGCTACAGTGCCTGGGGCGCTTTTGAGGAATCCTTGGTTTCTTTACCAGAAACAAACAATAAGAATAATAATATTAATTCAGTTGGCACGGCAGTCGGCAGTAGCATGGCATTTTATACCAGACCTAAAGTGTGCCTGCCATACCTGACTAGTGACTGGTTGTGGAGGTCCCATACAGCAATGTTACCATCGCTGCAACAGCTGAAGCAAACCTTGGAGTCTGGGCTGATAGCCAGAGCGTAACACGCCGGAGCACTTGACGTCAGCTCGGCTTTTATTCTTGGGGTCGGCTGAAGAAACGAACAAGAACAGCGTCATCAAATTGGGGAATCAATTTGAAATGGATGGGGTTCGGTTCTGCAAACCTTTTTTTTTTAGTATGTTTTGTGCAATAGTCCATGTCAACACTGATTCAGTGTATTTTTCTTCAAATAAACCCAACCTTGGTCCAATTTCATGGTCCTGCTTACAGTTAGCGAAAAATCCCTGCTTACTCTAGCAGAAACTTCCATGCTTGTGGCAAGTGTGTTTAACAGTTTAGCAAGGAATTTTGGCTTATGTGCATGTGTACATCTCTTATGTGCATGTGTACAACTAAGGATTCTGTGCTTACTGGGTCTGCTAGCGCTGTTAGCACAGAACGTTGATCATAAGCACGGAATGCTGTGGTAAGCAGAGTCATGACATTGGGCCCCGATTCGTAACTCAACCTTATATTAATAGTCTCTTGACACACCTCTGGAAAAACCAAGCTTAAAATAATGGCAACAATAAGCTAGTGTCTTGAAAATGACAGCACAACAGGTGCCATGATTTCACAGGATGCTTGAGAGTGTTATTCACTTACAGTCAAGTAAGGCATTTCATAATAATTTAGTAGTTTTGTTTGTTGATGTTTGCAAATGTTGTACATCACCTTTTCAGAATGAACCACGCTTCACGCAACTTACCGCGGCAAGATCCCAGATGGATAACGTGCTGGCCTCTCCACCCACCAGCAACGTGCGGCCGTCCGGCAGCAGCTTACAGGACCGGATGTAGTTCTCCCGATTCAGGCAGTCCAGCTGAGAGACAGGGCTCTTGGTACCCGGCTGACTGATGTCCCAGACCTTGACACATCCCTGAAAAGAGGTGAAAAAAACCCAAAAAGCTCCAGTGAGAAAAAAAAAAAGTTTTGTCTTTCCAATTATGAGTCAAGGGCGGATCCAGGGGGGGGGGGGGGCCAAAGGGGGCCATGGCCCCCCCCCCCCAAACGAAACCAATATTTTTTTTTTTTAATGTGACATTGCAATAAAGGCAGGCAATGAGTACACCACCATCTTTACCTAAAAAAAAATTGGTTAAAGTGGTCAGAAATTGCCTCATATCGCATCACAGAGCATCTAGAATCCAACATTTTTTCGGGGCCCTTAAGCGGGCCCGAACCCCACGCCGTAATTTTTTAGACCCACTTTTGGAGGGACCAAAATTTTTTTTGGCCCCCCCCCCAAATTGTGTTCTGGATCCGCCCTTGTTATGAGTGTCTCATTGCCAACCATCATAGATTGTGGCATTGCTAAACTCGCTTTGAGCCTGAATCTGTAGAGCAGTAAGTTTTAATATTTGGTTTTGCCCTTCACCAAGATAAAAGGACTGTATGCTCAAAAGAGTAGTGTTTTAAATACTCGAGGCATCGAGCTTGCCAAAGTTAACCAGCCAGTTCAAACTTAATACGGCTGTAATGAATACCCTGTATGCTGGAATTGTAGGATTTGACTTTGCTCTTCACTGACAAAATTTAAAAAGAGAAGAAATAAGGGGTGTCTGGTAAGTAGGCCTACGGGGTGCTTTTCTCAACTTCCATCTTTGCCATAAGGGTTTCAATCCCACCCGGGCAACATGTCCCTGCATGATTCAGTTTGGGAGTTCACCCCAGAATATCACAACCATTAGGAGGTAACGAAACCTTAGAAATCATTAATGCTGAGTACGGAAAGATGATCAATGCTTACCTTGCCCCCTGTGTAGACGTGTCTTGTAGGGTTACTGATGGTGACTGCACACACCACCTCACCGTGGTTCAATGTGTTGATCTGGCGGGCGTGGCGCGGGATACCGGGGCCAATCAGGGCGTCTGGTGGGAAGGGAACCGGTTGCATCTGGCCGTCGGCGCTGACGTGGAAAGAATATGCACTGCAAAGGGGAACACATTGGAAGCGAAAAACTGCTGAGCAACCATGCTGCAGGTTTTGTGGTTCGACACACAGAAGTGACATGAATTCTTAGGCCAAAAAAATAAATATTCTGCTTCCGATTACATGGCATTGGAAATAGGGTAGGTAGGCAGGGAATCTTTTTTGGGGGGGGGGGCATTTTTGTGTGTGTGTGTGCGATCATATGGAGGCATCTGCGTGTAGTCAAGGGTAAAATGTACCGGTGGTAATTGATCGTTTTGGGTGCTTTTTTCCTCATTTTTCCCAAAAACAAATTAGGGTAGGAGCTGTCAGAAAAGGGTAGGTGGGTCATTCCGTGTCAATTCAACACGATTTTGGACCCAACCCTCACAGATTGAAACAATATTTGGTGTGATGAGAAACCATTTGAAAAAAATTACAAACTTTGAAGCATATTGATTTTCGTAATTCAAGGTCAAAGGTCATTTCGTTACGCACTTTCTCTGCACTTCATGCTACGATTTTGGTTTTATTTATGAAATGGAGGCCATTCAAAGAGCTTTAATATGATGTACAACTTGGCTTTATAGGCGCTATAGTTTTTGAGATACAAGTATTTCAAGTTCGGAGGTCATGCTAATTAGTCAAAAGTTCGTTGACCCGTATCTCAAAAACTAACGAGCCAATTAAAAAAAAAAAAACAGTTCTGGGGGTTTCTCATATAGGCCAATCATCACACCAAATATCGTTTCAATCTGTGAGGGTCGGGTCCAAAATCATGTTGAATGGACACGGAATGACCCAGGTAGGGAAACCTGAAGCAGAACTATTATTTTTTTTTGGCCTTGCAATACATACAAGGCATTCAGGATTGTTTGCATTTATCCCCAAAATAACCTACCAAGTTATTACCAAAAAGGTTACTTGGATTAAAGATCGTACTGGTACTAAACACCCCGTGAAATTAGTGTGTCTGGCTAATTGCTGTCATGTCGAAGGAACCAAGAAATGTAGGCGAGTCCCAACAATGCAGTCAATTTGACTGATTTTTGGAATAAAGAGTGCTATTGATGAAATCGTCTTTCGTGATCAAGAGTTGTCCATGTTTTTCATTGTTTTCTTGAAACGCATAATATTCACTGATATCAAACTTCTTTAGATTCCAGAGATGCCACCAATATATTTTTAAAAAGCCTGAAACGCTGCTAAAAAAACCGAAACTACCCTTACCCCCTTTCAAAAATGTGTTTTCTATATGTTTCAGACCAAATCCAGCACTTTTAATTGTCACATTTTTTGAAAAAAAAACCCAACAAAATCCTGAATTCAGGTTAAAACCTGAAAAGTGGCATTTCTGGGATTCTGAATGGTGTGATTATTGTTAACAAACAAAATGCATGAAATAAAAAAAAAGCAAATGATCCTAAATGCCTTTAAAGTTATAACAGTCAGTTCAATTAATAACTTATTATAAGGACTAAAAAAGGGAAAATTGGTGGACTTCTTAGTTCAATTTAACTGAACGAAACGTGTACCCACCCTGACTGTTGCTTGGTCAACTAATCCTTTTAAGTGGGGATTGTAAAACATAAGCTTTCTGAGTATTTTCCCCTCTTTCCCAAATATTGTATAAAGAAATCAACGTGATGCTGAAATAGTATTTTCTTGTTTGTTTTGTATTACTTTTGCCTATTTTTCTTTGGTGTACATGTATTAAGTGTATTAATATGCAAGGCGAGCACCTTATAGGAAAATACTTTGTCTAATGATTTAAGTGTCATGGTCAACAAGTATTGATGTTTTCTCTAATTTTACGTAGAAACTACAAAAAAATAACAGTATGATGTCGTAGCGCATTAGTTGATGATTTACTGCAGATTTTCATTTTAAAATTCTTGAACTGCAAATATCACTGATATCCTTAATAAATCCTTCTAGCAGGAACATTATACTCCTCTTGATTAATTGTTGGATGGGATCTTAACTTATATTGTTATGGCAACATTTTTGTATGGTTTTGGGACTCTACAATACTCGATTTTTCTTCCAAAGACGATTATTATACCTCATACATATTCATGAGCAAGACGTGAATTCTTACTGGTCCATTCATCATCACGTGTCAGCTGCTAGTTTTGCTATATACCAAGCGCACATGTGAGGATTCACACACAGTGTAAATATGCATGAGCAGTCCACTATCGTATGGGTTACCCATGTGACAGTCTGCTACGCATGTACTTTACTAAGAAATCATGGAATTGATTGGGGGAATGCGGGAACATCCCCTTACCTACATGAAAAGATGGTGGCACATGCAACATTTTGCCAAGATAACTGATGCGTTTCTCGATGAAATGTTTCGTGAATATGTATGAGGTATAGTGAAACAAACACGTTTTTTTTTCCGGGTGGATAGTCGATATTAGATCCCCTCGGTATTAAAAAGTTGACAAACTAGTTTTCTTGGCTTTGCCTCGGGAACTAGTTTGTCAACTTCCATTACCTCGAGGAGCTAATACCATCTATCCACCCTCAAACCATGTTATATTTGTAAAATATGGGCCCACGTGATTGCAGAATTGGTACATGTAATTAGACACCCCATGTAATAACTGGGAAGTATTGCGCGCCAAATGTGGCTGTGCGTGCTCCTTATCATAGAGCGAGGTCCCCAGCTCTTGTCCTTACAGAGTTGGCATGCGTCCAGGAATGATAGTTAGCAGAATCACTCAGGGGTAATAACAACATGCAAAGTAATTTCATCCCTGTTCAGAAAATCACTAGCCAATATACACACTGTCCTACTCATTGTTGACTTGTTCACACTGACGCTCACCCCACATTGGTTCTGCTCACATCAGATTATCGTTTTTATTATTTACACAAACTATCAATATAGAATACAACTGCACCTTACACAAAGTCTGGTTCGATTTGTCCCCCCCCCCCAAAAAGAAAATTGCTGATTTTAACTGAGGACATCTGTGCTTGTTCTACAATGTTTAAACTTATCAAACACCACACTGCACACGTCGACAAGAACCCTTCTAGATTGAGAAGATACTTGTGAGAATAGTTGACGAGCCCTTGATACACAACAGTGCATCCAGCTGTTCCATGCACAAGTACCCCTTCAACCTTACGAAAGGAAGAGTTGGGGGAGACCACTAAGAGGGACATTCGAAAGCATTGCTGACGGCGCCTGATGCTCATGCGAAGAATTAAAGTATGTCATGCGTACTTCACGCCGTAAGTGCGTGAGAAGCAGCATGCGCACGCAATGTGTCACTCACTGGAGCCCTCTAAATTGTCCAAAAAAAACGCCATCGCTTGTTCGTGCACGGCGTCGATTAGGCTGTTTACTGCCACAGTGATTAGGTTATCCAGTTTGGATTCATTTTCCTGACTTTCGCTAATAGTCGCAACATTCACGTACAATACCCCACCTAAGCAAAGAGTGGATATAGACTCACAAGCGATTCAGTCTACAAGCTTTTTCGCGTTGCAAAACCTGTGATGTCTGAATACTCAAAACCTACAAAATGTGCTCTACTGTTGAAATTCTTGCCTAAAATTGAAATTCTTGCCAAAACTTGCCTGAAAGATCAATTATTATCCAGCACGAAAACTTGTGCAGTCCTTCAATGAATTCAATTTGCGATTGGATAAAGAATATAACTAATCGGGCTTATAAGCCTCTTCAAGGGGTAACGACAAAAAATAGAACCTCCAGGTTTAAGGTGCTTCGTCCATTTTTTTTCAAAAGAGTGTTTAACACTGATAACGCACCTTTTAATTTAAACTAAAAAGTGTTTACAGAGAAATTGCACTTTTCAATGCAAATGAAATCGGAAAGCTTAAAATTTGTGCGATGCATGAAAAAAATATCAATCAAAATCGTGCTTTAAGTTTGTTGCAAAAAAAAAAAAATTCTTCAGTTTTGCGTCCAACTGCAAACAATGCCTTATTATCCATCTAATGCTGTTATCATGCCACTTCAAACCAAGAAGCCTGTATAATAATATTTGTGAAATTTAAATTAGTCAATTTGTTTTGTGTATTTATATATATATTTATATGCAGGAAAAAAAAAAGAATATTCATATTTCTTGGTGAGAAAGTATGTTGTAAGCCAAATACGAGTTGTGTAAAAAATACTTGAAAATAAGTGCTAACTAAAAAAATTTAAAAAAATCCAATTGATCGGAAAATTCAAAAAGGCAAATAATGAATTGGTAAAATGTAGGAATTGAAAATAAAAGATAAAAAGCATATACCAACTCTGTGAAAATGTGGTAATCTCACTACGAAAATTGAGAGATTGAGACCATTTGCCGTTTGCTTTTTATTCTCTAGACCTCAACTAAAAAAGGCAGTTGTATATGCCAAGCACACTTGGATAATGCCACATTGACTAAAGAAAAGTGAAGGCAAATGCATTCTACTTTCACCATTGCAAATTAGTACGTGGACAATTTTTTTGGGAAATATCGCTCAGACAGACAGGGCCAACCAAAATCCTTGTGCAGTTACTCCAGGTTCAACAAGTTACAGGCCCTTGCCTTGAGTCGAATGTCAAATGTCGTATGTCACAGGTCAAGACCACCTTTATTTTGTATCGTTCACAAAACCTTAACAGACTGATATCTGAAATGTCTTTGAAATGCGGTCAGATAAGTCAAATTTTTAACCAATTTAAAAACAAAACAAAAAAAACAACACCCACAACCCCCCCCCCCAAAAAAAAAAACCTAAACAGGAATCATTAAAAACAGGTGGGAAACGTATTATCCTTTCTTGTACAAAATCCAAAGAATCTCAATGAATCCTCACTACCTAGGTTTTTTTATAACTCACATTAAAATTGGTGGATTCGGGACTGTTAGGGTTTGGACTTGAAACATTTGACCAGAGTCAACCCCCTCCCCCCCCCCCCCAAAAAAAGGTCATCTTAAACATATACTCTGACTTGTTGACTGACTAACAAACGAACCAATCAAACAAACAGACCGACACACAGACAGACAGACAGACAGACAAGATGACATCACATTCCAAGGCAGGGCCATGCAGAGTTGAAAGTCAAAGAACAAAACAAAAAGATTGCAACTTACCAGGCAGTTGACAGAAGGGCGCCAGACCAAATCAGGGGTGAATTTAGTGTGTGTGTCTGAAGTTCAGGTATGATACAGTCAAGAATACTTGTATGCTAATATGATCCACCCCAGTTAACTTTTAATTATAACTTCGTAATAGCTACAACTGGAGTGGCTCAAAAGAATGTGCCGAGAACAGTGTATGGAGAAATATCGGTGTGTTTCGACAGAGTTTTACATGCAAAGGCCGGTTCAGTCTTCCAGCGAATGCAAATACGAAGCCAGATTTGAGTTGCGGTAAACTTTTGCGAGTTAGCAACGTGAATACTTGCTGTGATGTCGCACATTCGCCAGAGTTGAAATGTGTTCAACTTTCGCAAATTCGCAAATTTTCACAATTTCGCACTCACGTTTGCAATGAGTACAAACCGACCTTTAGTCAAGTAAACTTTTAATCGTTGAGAGGAAAAGTATTTTTTTTTCTGGGTTGGACATGATTTGGTCTGGCTTTTCTGTAAACTTGCTTAGGTAAAACTTTTCTGTCATTCTTTATGATAAACATCGAAATCTGGTTTATTAATAGAATTTTAATAGAATAGGATTTTGGTTGGCCTTAACTTGAACAAATTCTTAATTAAACAGCAAATCAGCGAATGGATTTGCAAAAAAAAAAAAAAATCACTGCTGCACCTAATTTTCAGCAAAAATCCATAGCAGACTTTTGTTGGAATACATACCTATGAGTGTGCTACTAGCGGTCGAGTGACTTTTAAAAACTATACATGTCAATTTTTACTCTCTGTACAAGAATTTTTACTTTTTCCTTGAGGTTTTTTTTTTTTTGGTTTTTGGTAATCTTCAGACTAAATCTGCATAGGATTGTGTCACTGAGTGGTGTCAATGAAATATAGAGAGCGTAGGGTGAAACAAGCGTGTGACTGTATGATCCTGAGATGGTATATGTCTGTGTGTGAGCATGTACAAGTTGACTGATATGTTTATATACAACTTGTGACCCTCCACCACAAGACCAGTCACTTGGACCAATTCTTGAAAATTGGGAGTTTGGGCTTATTGGAAAGGATGTCGAACATTTCAGTTCTCCATTTCCATCAATATTCTATGTATGAAAGGCTGTTTTATAGGCTGTATCTCAAAATTACGGCCTTGCGACTTCCGAATGGTTATGTCCTGGAGGGTCACATTTGAGTTTGGATCTGTGAATGGTTCAACGTGTTCAGAATCAACCCTGCATGGCCCCTATTAGCGACAGCATCGTCCCCGCTTTTAAATCCAGCTTTGCCCCTCAATCTGTCTTTCTCTCTGGGTCCTACTGCATGGGGCAGCTGTGTCCCATAGGCGCGACGGTAGCGGGGCCGGGCAGTCGGGGGGCGGCCCTGGCGCTAGATGCAAGATGGCATTGGGTGAACTTACGGCTTGCCTCCCGGTATGCCAGCCAGTCCTGAAATGCGATTGTGCGAATGGGGGTCAAACGGCACCTGTGCATGATTGAACTGCAAAGAAACACAAAGACAGCAAGAAAAAACCAAATGGTGGATTTGGTCCTTTTTTTGGTGGAAGAGGAGGAGGAGGAGGAGGAGGACTACGAAAAACAACACAGGAACAAAAAACTCAAAAAAGAGATTTTCTTTTCTTGTTAGAGTCAAAAAGCAACGTCTGGCCCATGTCTGAGAAACAAATGATTTTGTTTTAGTTTTGCAAATAAGTCAAGATATTGAATCTGAAATATAAGGGACTATATGATAAACTTGGAAAAAAAAGAGTTTCTTTTGACTGCCAAAGTTGTGTGTAATTTGTCTGACTCATTTCGTGGGATTGGGGTCACAACTGGTTGAGCGATTTTTCTTGTTTGGAAAAGTGTCCCTTTCTGCTCAGGGTTGACCAAAAAATATGTGCTTAGATCCGAGCAAAACACTGAAGAGTTATTACTTGGTTCGTGTGCTTCCATTTTGTTCTACATACAAACAGGAAGCAAAACCAGGTAATTTTTGTCAGTTTTGTTTCTCACAGAAGTTAGTGATATTGGAAAATATTTTTTTTGACCAGCAGAGCTCTGTGACTCTAAGCAGACAAAGAGTGAAGAAACTTTAATGGCAAAGACAGAAACGAAAGCCCAGCAAAAGAATAAAGGCAAAGCAACAGAATGTTTCCACGGACCCTTGTTTTACTGGGATCAAAGATACTCGAAACTTGTTATAAGTGAATCAAATGGAGGAGAATTTGTGCATAGTGCCATCATTTCTCTTTGTGGGTTCTGCTTAACCATGTATCATAGTTTTGTGGTATCTGACTTCAATTTTGGATTTTTTTTTTAAATTTCTGCCGACGAACAATTCTGGATGATTCAATTTAGGGAGTTACATGTAATCCCAATTTTGCCATGCAAAAAATGACCAAATCCATTGAAGCAAATGAAAAGAAGCTGCAAATCTTTAACAACCACACACACACAGATAAAGACTCAAGAAAAGTCACTTCGGCATGCATACACAACAAAGTAAAAATTGTCTGGTGTACATTCAAAAAGTTACAGAATTGCCATTCTTTTTCGGCCAATTTTTTTCTTTTCTTCGAAATGCAGTTATTTTCTGTTGTGGATTGCCGAGGGCATGCAAAGTGTACCAAAACTCAGAACAGAACAAAAGGACAGATTTATAGAATAGACGAGGAAAAACATCAGAGAACCCCAAAGAAATGGCTTTCAATATCACATAAAATGAACTTTTGAGTTTCGTTTCAAACAGATTTTGAAAAGCATTTCAAACCTCTAATCCACCTAATTCAGTTTCTCATATTCTCAGTTTAACCAGTTCGCGCCGGATGACGTGTATACACGCAAAGGTTCTGCGGTATTCCTAAATGATGATGGATAAACACTCAGGGAACGAGGCTGCAAATATCTGTCAGCAACCCGCTCACAGCGAGCGAGGCCGGAAATATGAGTGTGCTGACTGAGGGTGTGGGCTTCAACACGCCTGGCACTGAGGTCGAGTGAAAAGTATTCCCGTGCCTCATTCCGTTCTTGTCAAAATAATCCCGGCGCAAACTGGTTAATTCCTGTTTTGGGGATCGTTTTTTGTTTGTTTTGTTTTGTTAACGAGTTCATCAACATTGAAAGCCATACTTAGGAGCAAGGAAACAATATAACATCTTCTTTGCACAGGCTTTCATCACACGACACAGGGTTTGTATATTTTCATCTGACGGCAAACAACAAAAACTATTTTCGTGTGACATCTAGTTCTCAAGAAACCATGTTGGACATGGAAGCTTTCCCCACTTTTATGGCACTCATTAGAGACATACATGTACCAAACCTGTCAATTTAATGTAACTGGGTTTTCAGCTCAGAACTGTACTGTGTGTGCGGAAGAGCATACCGCACACAGCGACCCGCACACAGCGACCCGCTCACAGCGATCATATTAAATGTTTCATTTTAATATTCACAAATTCTCACACAATATTTGTTTTCATGTGATGATAGCCTGGCTTTTCTGCTATGGCAAAGCAAGGTGAGAGCAAATTGCCACTTCTCACTTTTTGTAAACGGAATTCTGCTATTCTGAATTCAACAATTTAATCAAATGCCCATTGTTACAAATTTCTCAACATTCATTCTTATTGAGATATACATTTTTACAATCATGTGGAATCCCTATTATTTGACTAGTTTTGATGAAGGGGGCTATAGTTAGGCCGGAAATCCATGTGTCCGTCATAAGTTAAGTGTAGAGCGCACTGCGTGATGCGTTAAAATCAGTTGTTTGAAAAGCAATGCGCATACGTCCATGTGTCCGTATTGCACATTGCGCTATCAGTACTGCATTATCCATTGAGATTTTTTACGCTTCAGGTAGCGATTGAAACAGATGACGCATCCAATACCCATGGGATTTGTTGCCGGCAACTTAAAAAGACGATGAAGTGGTGGAGTAAAAAGATACATATTAATGGTTGGCCTCAAAAGGAAGCAGTTTGTATGTGAATCTTATTGAAACAAACTCGGACCTGCCTTGATTTCAATTTTTAATTTTTATTTAGAACTTAAATCTTGTCAATGCATATTTCGTAAAATGTGTACTTCGACAAAGCTAGTCCAAATTTAATTGAGACTTGATTGTTCTATAGTGGAGCTCCCTAACATGGCGCACTTCGACATTTACCCCGACTTTCCACATCAGTGTTGCCAAACTTCTTTGTTGACATACTTCAAATTCATTCAGTGAAATACTGGTACTTTTACCTTATTTATGCTTGCTAATTTAACATCTGTGAACAATTTCGGCTTCATGAAAATTTAATTTGAAATTCAACAACAGTGGCGTCTGGAAATTGGGCACAAATCGACTGAGTGTTCCCCAACGTGGCGCACTTGAAGAAATCTCGGAAAATTCCAAGTTAACATTTAAGAATTTCTGTGAAGTCGATAAATTCTGATAAACAATTATTATCTCTACTTACATACCCAAATTGAAGTTTATCAGAAAATTGTTTTCAATTTTTCGGGACATTTTCAAAGGGTTCACTGTGCACTTCGAAAAAAAAAATCGGAAAATCACGCCGAAATAACATTTTCTTCTAGCTTTGTGAAGGGTGGATAAACTCGTTATTTATGAACGAGAGTGTTTGGAACTTGATGAAATTTCACTTTCTGTGAAATTTCAGTTAAAACTTTTGCTCTAGCTAGGCGCTACAGGCGAAAAATCAAAGTGCACCACGTTAGGGGCCGCGCCACGTTAGGGTACATCAACAATACTTGCAGAAGTTCTAAATTTGGGTTTTCACGTCCGTCATGTGTGCAACGAAATACGACTTTAATATGTTCACATGGATTTTCTGAGTATGCATCACGGACACGCAACTGGTAAATACACAATGCAATTTCATCGAAAACGGAAACATGGATTTTCGGCCTTGGCCACATTCCATTATACATTCCAACTTCAGATTAAAAAAAAAATTCATATTGCATGTTCAAAATTTAAGTCTTTTCAAGACTTCGAGAATTATGTTGATGTGTCCAAGGGTAAGACATTGTGCTACAATTACTTCCCTCTGCCCATGGGCAAATAAGTACCCATGAGAGCAGAGCATCCCCTTGTGTGCTTCTTAAGCTTGTTCAAATCTGTCACCACTCATCTGTGATTGATATCTCAGAGTGAATTAAAATTGTCCTTTTCCTTAAGTGAAGAATAATAACGGCAGAGTAAAAAGCTTTCTGACCTCCCAATACTGATTAAAAGTAATCAACGTTATTCCTATTCAGCCGCTGGCCACACCCCCTTCCAAAAGTGGGTCACTCGGTTGACCTGTGACATTTTGCTCTCACTGACCGCTTTGCCAATCGCAGATGGGTCATTCCATGCCAACTCAACAAATGGTGCACACCATCACCTCTTGGATTTTTTTCTTTTTGGTGTACTGAAAGATACTTAGGAGAAATGCTATCCACTGAAGACATTTAGACACCAACATGAAACTTTTCAGAGGACTTCACTAAGGACCAACCTCAAACATATGTGAAGCAAAATTTGGTGTGGAATGTCTGACGTTGGTTTTTGGGGGGGTCAAGTTATCGTAAAAATAAACAATTTGCTTTTTGCAAGGGCTATATCTCATTCAATGAAGTTAATATAAGTGTAAGATTTTACATAAAAGTAGTTTCAATTGGGGGCTATTACAGGCAAAAAATTTGGTGGAAAAAATATTTTCAATTTTTGACTTACACCCCCCCGAACATTGGTCTAGATGAGTTTTGGGCCATTTTGGGGCCCCTCTAACTTAAAAATGAAACAAGCTACTTTCTTTCTGTTTAAATATTTGAAATCTACAGCAACAAATAGCCCAGATTACCAAGTTTCAAATGTCTGGGTGGTATAGTTTTAAATATATGGCCCTTTAAACATTGAATTTCATGACGCAACGCACTTTTGGCCCCGCCCACCTCAAATTTCAAAATGCTGTTGCGCAAGAACGAAAAGTCGTAGAGACCCCAAATTTTCAGAATTTGCATTTCTCCTAAGTATCTTTCAGTACACCAAAAAAAGAAAAAAATCAAAGAGGTGATGGTGTGCACCATTTGTTGAGTTGGCATGGAATGACCCAGATGATCTTCGGTCAAAAGATTTCAAAACAGAACGAGGTAACGACACTCACCATTGGACCTCTGTATGAGTTCAAGGCTCCCGGGGATATGTTATTGTGAAGACCCGGGGCGACATACGGGTTAGGCATGTCATGGTTCATACCCTGAGCTGGCATGAACGGATAGGGTCCTAACGAAACAAGAACATAAAAACCAAGATGAAAATCAATCGATTTAAACTTACTGCCTTTTCTTACACGCGTTTTTCAGTGTGCTTTGTGCTCATTTTGTGGTAAGGCCTACAGCGTAATGCAAACCTAAGTGCGCAGTCGACACAAAAATAGACGGAGAACTTGCTTATGGAAATATGGCTTAACTGTGCAGAATCATAGCTGGAATTGGTCTTTACAGTAAAAGGAAAACAAAATTTGCAAAGGTTTTCTGCGGTGTGACTTTTATAACTTGCTTGCAGCTTTGTTAGTCTGGAACCCTTGAGGTTGCAATTCCACCTCCACTTTTAAAGTCAAGCAGTCTAGATATATTTCCAAGATGGATGTGGTATACAAAACAAAAAACAAAAGCAGTTTTCAAAGAGTTGAGCATCCTAGTAAGGATGGACAGTATCCTGTCTGATTTATGTCAAGAACACTAAAGAGAACAACAGGTTTTTTCACAACTAACAATTCTCGATGATGTCATTAGCAATCATCGTTCTCGTACCACTCCTCTTGTAACCCCTAACTCTCATACATGTAACTTGTAATTATGAAAGCGCAACAAGCTTACCCAGAGGGGGGACCTTTCCAACTGGTGGTTTTAGACCAGGTACACTGCTGCTGGAACCTGGTGTTGCTGCCCCACTGCTCGTGGGCGTTTCTGACTTGGGAACTGGAGATGGCAGCTTGTCATTCTGTGAAGAGTCAAATACCAAATGAAACAAAATTTGATACCTAAAAAAAGTATGGGACAAAAAGCATTGGAGAGTGCTTAAAAATTGTGTAGAATAAGGTGTCCCAAAGTGTTACGCCTCATACATATTTATGAGCCAAACGTGCTTCCCTCATTGGTTGATGTTGCAATGCGTCAGGGATGTAAAGATAGCTATACCTAACGTGCAACATCCATACCAACTCCCAGCATGACAGTTATACCAGAAAAGTAGTACTCCAAGGTTACCTCCTAGGACCAAAACCTTGTTATGGAGCCGGTCCCTGACAAGTGCAATCAAGCCGCTGCAGCATTAGAGAGGACTCTCGACAAGATCAAATTCAGTCTTGGGAACGTTGGCAGCAAGACCCGAGAAGTTCCGAGCATACCTCACGCGGCGCATTACCTTGAAAATAGCTCGTAGGACGCTCCAAATTTTGTCAGGTCCGAGTGGCAATATTTCCAACATTATATTTGATTCATCTAGGGCTGTATATGGAGATATAAGGCACTGGACCCCCCTCGTAAATAAAACCCTCTGCAGCTGCGGCACCAGCTTCAGTGATCAAGACTTGCTGGTTCAAACAGTCTTCAACCGAGACTATTTTGGTCACTCATGTAATTTTCTGGATACGAACCTCCTTGACTTTGGAGTTTGGCGTGCTAGCGCTTGAGGCAATGCTGTTGGGAGTGCTGGACCGTTCTTTCTTTGGCCTGTGCTTGTCTGTGTTGTTCTCCCGCGGTGACGCTCTCTCGCCGTTGGCGGCAGGGGAAACGGGATCCTGCGTGAAAAATGGGCAAAAGGTTTTGAGTCTTAAAATAAAGGGAGCTTCTTCTCAGGAAATACTATTGCTTGTTGTCTATAGAGGTTCTTCAAACATTAGCAAAAAAATATCGAAGGGAATAAATTTCATTAGAAATTAGAATGCTTATTTTACAGGTACATGCATATGGGCTGAACAGTTTTTCATGGTATGCATTTCTAGATGATAAGAATAGCAGTTAAACTATATCTAAGACGATTTTTGGGATATAATAGTGATCCAGATGAGTACTGCTAACACTTAAAGAACTTTTTGAGTAAACTGAACGGAGAGGGTTCATTTGAAATCAAGCCTTTTTTAAACGATATGGAGTTGTGCATCGCTCACAGTGTTTGACAATTTCCAATTGCAGCATAAAATGGTTTAGTGCAATTTCCACTGCCGAGTGAAATGCCCACAGCCAACAAGTGCGAAAATGCCGAGACATTTTGAATGGTAAAAAAAATCATGTGACAGTGAACTGTTCTTACCTCGTTGGATACATCAACCACAAGGTTGTCATCACTCTTCTCTGCTTCACTGTCCTGTAGAAAAAAAATAGCGGAAAATAAACTTACCAAATCTAACCAATGAACAAACAAACACCCCCCCCCCAAAAAAAAAATTTGATGTATTTCATAAAACTCTTTCTGTTTGTGAGAGACATTTTTCAACAAACTCAGAAAAAGGTCACCAGACCTTTTCCCTTCTATTGAAAGAAGTGATACCTTTGGGAGGGATCTGGGGTGGTGGCTCTTGGAAAAGCATTATTTGGAGCGCAGGCGGGCTTAAGTCTGCCAGACCTGATCGGGCCAGAAAAGCCCCCGTTTAACACCAGCGGGAAATTGGACGTGACGGGCAGGGTGTAACGAAAAGTCAAGCTTAGTGTGGAAGGCCTGGATAAACAGAGCTCTGCTCGGCCGGAACGGAGGGTTTTAGAAGGGGCATGGCGGAAGGCCATCACAAACGGGTCCTCGATGATAAATGTTGGCTGGGTGATAAGAAGGTGTAACGTGATTGGCTGTTTCCCTTGTTTGTGGGTGATTACAGTTTAACGTGAGTAATGGGGAATGTCATGCAAGGGTTACATACATGGGCCACTTTAGGGTCATGAATGAGATATGGTATACAATGTCTCACACTGAAGACATTTGGCGGAAATACCCCAGGGATTAATGAAGATGTCAGCTTTCCCTTGTTTACAACATACAACAGTGCTCCCATGTTCTATTTGATAAAAAATTCTCACCGAGTCCATTTCAGAGTCCCAAATGTACTGAAATATAAGGTGAAGTAGTACGTTGTAGGAGTCAAGTGCAAGTTCTCAACAACACCACCGGTATGTCAAAAATGGCCAAATATTTACAAAGGAATTTGGAATTTTCAAGCTTTCAATGGACGCTGCTGTCCAAGCATTCAATTTCCAACCCATAATTGCAAAAGTCCAGCACTCAGACACCGTGTTCAAGTTTTACAGGTTTGCATGTAGTTTGTTACATTTCAGTATAAGACTCAGAAAAGAAAAATCCTCAGTTTTGTCTCGGTCTTTGACCATGTGAAAGATTTTTTTCAGGCCCCCAACTTGAGGGACTCTGGCTCAACATAGGTGCTTTATTTGCTTCAGGAAAATATCTGATCATGGCCAAAGGTTTCAAGTATTTCGATTTACTTTTTGCATTAAAAACTTAAAAATGATTCTAGTGTTGGACGACAAGGCCGTGATTTGGACAATTCCTGTAGCCTGTGTGATAAAGAAGTGATTTTTGGCAACTATAAATCAAACTTCGCTAGATTGGCTCATTATAATCGTGTCTAGGTTGGACTTACTCCTGATTCCTTCTCATCTCTCTTTCTCTTAGCGTTCTTGGAGCTGGATTCGCCGTGGTCTGACGTGCTGCGGTACTTGTCTGATGAGCTGCGATCCGGAGGGGATACTGAATTCTGCGAAAGCAAAATAACCAAAACGAAAATCATTAACCTTTATACTGAAACAAAAACAATAAGAAGAAAGAAAATCTAAAGCAAATGTACACAAGCCAAAATGTGCAGATGAAAACGTGGCATTTTGCCCACAAGGGAACATCTGGGATGACAAAGACAGCAAATTTATAAAACAAAAATGGGCGCTCAATGGTAAATTTTCCTGTGTCCTACATGACAATTTTCCTTTTGAGTGAAACTATCTCTTTTCTTTTTTAAACAAAGTTGAAAAAATAAATAGGTTAAGCAAACAAGATGAGCTCTGAAATTGGAAGCCTTCCCGCCAAAATATTGGCAAGGATGCAATTGAAGTTGAGTATTATTTTTTTTATTGTAGCTGAAAACATCCAAACATCTGGTTAAGATACAGATGTTACATGCATACAAATTCTTTTTTTTTATCAGTTAATAAGTTACTAGTATTTTACTCGTAATAGTAATGCACTACAGCCTAATCTATAGTTATCTGTTTGCACGTAAGGTATTGATTTTTACGTGGTTCCAACAGCCAAATTTTTATATCTATCATTTTTGGTTCTACACAGCACGAGGCCACCTGCCGACCCGAATCCATAATCTATCACTTTCATGTTTGAGCTCCCAACACATTAAACAGTCGTCTTTTGTGTTGCCCACTCTATGTGAACAGTTACATGTACTGTAATATGTTTATGATGTGTACAAACTGAGCACTGTGTAGACAGTATACTGCCCTCTATTGGCCAAAATTAACCCATCGATTATTTAAGCAATTGCGGACAATACAAATAATATGAAGATGTATTTAAAAGGATTTTTGAGTTTTGAAAGACAAAAAAGAAGAAGAAAGAAAGTGATTTCAAAACATGTGACAACATTGGTCCTGGAATATTAATTTATGCATGAATGTTGAAGTCACTACTTTAATTTTAAACAAGTGTGAGTGCACAATAAACTTTGGCCGTATTGCAAGAAGTCTTACATGAAATTGATCAAAACGATCCCTGCCAGAGCTTAAAAATGCTACGCTGAAAAATGCGATACTGATGGCACATATGGAACACCATACTTTTGGTCAAGTTTCGGGGACAGACAGACCGACCAACAATTGACATGTAGAGAGCTCACACCGTTGAGTAAGTAAACAACAAAGGCTATCTGGGGAAAAAAGTACCGTCTTATACATCTCTCAAAAGTAAAGGAATGCTTTACTCTGAGCATAAAGAACGAAAGCACAGCTATTCTTTTGATAGTCTTGCACAGGTACTTACAACCCTCAATTGACACGATCATGGTCTACTAACTACTGGATAAGGTGGCAGGGTGTGGGTAATTTAAGAGCTTTAGGCCCCAGTAACCCAATTCAACACGGCATAATGGAGTAATCAGCTTCCAATCTCAGAGTCCGATTCTCTCATTACGAGTCCCGTCAATACTCTCCAGAGAGGACGACGTTTGCTTCTCAAAAGAAACTGCCCCACCCTATGGGCCATCAGATCTAAGATCCCTGGTAAACGGCGACGACTGATCCCCTCAATGGCAGCAAATTCTTGCTTTTGTGTGCCATCACAGTTTGCCGGTTTCATTCAAGGAAGCAGTAAAAGAACCGGGCCTTGGAAACCTGTCAACAACTGTTTACACTAATGCCTTTAGGTCCTTCACAAACACCAGGCAAACATCCCAAGACTGAATAAACTTGCAAAACCTAAGACCTCCTGCAAACAAACCCACCCCCCCCCCCAAAAAAAAAAATGAGAAAAAAACCGAAACACTCTAAACTCACACTTCAAATAATCCTGCAAATAGAGAAAGAAACCCGTAGCAAATACTCCACACCAAATTTACTAGAAGGGGGGGGGGGGGGGGAAAGGTCAGTGGGCAAGACTGAAAAGACCATGAACAAACACGGGGAATAATGGTAGTCTGTTAAAAGTGTTTATCGAATACTTCTCAGTCAATAGCGAAGGGTGGGCTTATATGAATGGTGCAGCTGCAATCCCCCCCATTCAAGTGGCCTGCCAGGTCCTCTTGAAGGTCCTGAAGAGCAAATAAAGCGGAGAGGACAACAGCGCAGACTGCTCACTGAGTGCCCTTGTGTCTTCCTGTCCGATTGGGCCACTCAATTGCTTTGCGAGTGGAATACATTACCTCTCTTTATTTCTGGGAACCTCATACATGCACATGTACGTACTTGTGCACTGTGACCGCATACACGCATGCATACGATTCCACATAATGTTACAGGAATTTTCGCCGACTTACACGTTTCCCTTGCGCGGGGTGGTGAATTATAGAAATGGCTCCGAGCTCCATGTTAAATGTCAGGGCGTCATTAAGGCAGGAAACAATGATCGATGATTGGGAGCTTTGAATTATTCAGTCCGCGAGGCCGGGACAGGTATCCATCCTGGCCAGCTTTGGAGAGCACTTCCTTGCACATACATGAACTTCCCCCGGTTGACTCAGTCCAATTAAATTCTGCATTTGGCGCGCTCACCGAATCATATTTTTTTGTGTCTCCCCGGAGCTGACTTGTCATACAGGCCACTGATGAAAATTCACCGGTAAATATTCTCGGATTATGTACACAGAGGGAGAGAGAGAAGAGCTAGGGGTTGGGGGGGGGGGGGGAGAGAGGGTGAGGGGCGAATGCTCGCTCACAGGGATCCAGCCGTGCATATTCATTGGGGTTGCATGCTCTCCTCCGACTTGCAGAATTCATCCCGTTTGTAATATGATCGTGTACTTGTGTTGCTCCATGGCGACGAAGGGGGGGGGGGGGGGGGGTGAGGAGGACAGCAATACGCTGACAGGCACACGCTGAATGACTAACGCCGTGCAAACACAGCAGGGGCCCCGCGCACACGTTGAAGGAGTAGCGACACCCCAATTGAAAATGCCAACGAAATTTGCCCAGGCACTTGTCCGGAACACTCAGCGATGCTTCAGACAGAGTTAAATCACTGAGCCACACGGCTTCATAAAATGAAAACGAAAGAAGAAAAAAAATGGCGAGGGGAGGGGGGGGGGGGGGGGAGGGAGTGCAACCCTCTCTGTTAGCCACGTCAATACACAATTAAACGGATTCTGCTATCAATGAGAATATTGAAGGGAGTAGTGGGGGGGGGGGGGTGCGAGCTCTTACGGGGGAAAACACAGCTCAATAAAATGCAATGTGCACACAAGACCGTTGGCAAATACAAGTCCGTGTCTGCCGGCTCGCAATGCAAACACTCCAGCGTGAGCTCGGGCTTGTGTTCCAATAAGCGCAAATAAGCGGAGTGAGTCCGTTGTCATCCAACGACGGCGTAAGGTGCAGGGACAGCTAGGGCCGCGGTAAACACCAAGCGCTATTTATTGGCCCGATGACACCGACACACACGTAGACAGCTGCGCTCTGTGTCCACAAAGCAAGTCCAATCTTGCTCTTCATTATCGCTGGCATTCAACGTCCGGGTTTTAAATAATTGAAGCGATCGCTTAAATTAACCTCTGATAATTGCTGTTTGGCAGGCTCTCCATATTAAAGTTTCTGTCAAGTTTAGTGCAACCCTGTTTATCATTAAACATAATGGCTCTTGTACTCCTCAAGTATGAGAAATATTCATCCTCTTCAAGAACATATATGCTGGTGTTTTTTTGTCCTATGTTAAAATGTCTATTAAAAATTACAAGTACACAAATATAGATCAAATAAATGTAACAGGAAAAAAAATTAAATCAATAATTTCTCAAAAACAGATTAAAAACATCCGCATAAAAAGTTCAAAAACCTATTTACGTAATCCACCTTCTAGCCTGACGTACAGTGAACCCGTATGTCAACAACCTTCCTAAATTATAAAACTATCACTTTTACTTTCAATATATCACTTGCAACAAATGCCTCAAATTCTGTGATTCATATAAAATTAAATTTCACTTCCCTGTGACGACCAACACGTGAAATATGAATTTTGGGAAGATTTATGCATGTATGACAAGTACATGTATATCCTCATATTTTCTACCAACTTACAGATATCTTAACAACTGCTCGACTAGGGTGAATAAACATTGTGAACCTAAAATGGGAAACAAAGCATATTTGCCAATAATTTGTCATTGGAGAATAAAAAAAACTGAAGAAAAAAAATCAATCTTGGCATTGGATGACTCACGGCAGTATTAACGAATGCTCCGACCCATCTGCCCAATCCTGGAATCGTGGACAGGCACGCATGCCTACTCTAAGCAACATGTTCCCCCGGCTTTTCTAATCGAAAGCAGTCACTCAAAAATGGCCGAAATGAATACGTTGCCCTGTCACCGAATTAATTTGCCGATTGCAGGGGTTCCGATGTCGCCACACAACCGCCGCGGTCCAGCGACCAGACAATATGTTTGCCGATCCGCGGGGCAAATGTTTAGAGAACGCTGGTTTAATTCCAAACCCATTTGCCTGTGCAAATATTGACCCCCGCGTTTAAATATGGCACCAAAGTATGAAGCTGTATCTTGTTTGACTAGGATAACGGTTGTGTGCGTGTGGAGTGAGTGTACTGCCGAGACGGCCTACACCACATGTACACCTCTCCATATTTAATTCACCCCCAATATACAACATTTGCAAACATCAAAAAACAAAACTACCAAATTAGTATGAAATATGTTACTAGACTGTTTAGTGAATGACAGTCTCCCGATATTTTCAAGAAAAGTGGTATTTTTGTATCAATTTCCAACGCCAATACTCCCGCCAATTTACCATATTTAGTTAGTCTGAATTTTGTTTGCAATCGATTACACACCTATGAACAGGTACAAGCCAGCTAGACTGTTTCCTGACCTTACAATTCCCTGGCATCTATAAATTGCTCCATTTCAATTAAAGCGGGGTCAGGAAACCAGACTACGAGAACATGATTATTTTTCTTGGTTTTTCCCCCCAGCATCTACGAACACAAAACTTGAAACAAATTTTACAATTTTTTCTATAAAAT